CACACTGTTAAATGAACGTTGAAAGACTTCATTTAAACACATCAAACATCAAACAGTATAGATCATATCTGCACGTCGCAATAAGACGAGTGACTCCTCTGGCTCGGATGTAAACATGTATTGGCATTTCTAATATTGATCAGTCTCTTTGTTATGTTCAATGAGGATGGGTGATTGTCCTGGAGGTTGAACAGTGTGTTTAATTGTTTGTTCAAGCACAATCCAATGAGCCAATATCCCCTAGTGAACTTTGAAACACAAAAATTAGCTTCATACAATATATTCCTTATTATCATCAGTTGTTTGATGCTTTATTACGTGCCAGTGTTATTAATTTAGCTCATTGACTGCTCTTCTTACTTAATTATGAGATTTTATTCTATATTACTCTTACTTTTATTTATTGCAAGATGCCTCATACAGTATGTTTTATTCAAACCTTTCAATTATGGCAGTGCAAGCATTGTTCGCTCCGTTGACAGCTCTTGTTGTATAGATTTTGTATGCTTGTTTACAGCTCTAAATACCAATGAATACTAAAAAGGCAATTTGTTTTCCAATAATTGTGAATAACATAGATGCAATTATGGCACGCTTCAGACTAGTATACATTCAATAGACAACTTGTCCTTTCCATTTCAGGGCTGTTCTGACAGATCTTCCCTTGTGCCCACTCTATGGTTGACTGGTTTTCAGGAAAAGAGGAATGGTGAGTACAAACCAGACACTTTGTTTTAAGATATAACCGCAGTGACAAGCAGTCTGCATGGTTACAGATTGTGAATATAATCGCTCGAGCAGTCCATAAAATGTACAACACAAGCCAATGCCCATGTCACAATAGGCAATAACAAATCTCAATATAAGCGTCTCACATTTATCTTGCCAAAATGACCACCTGTCAATTCAAAACTTCAAAAGGCTTTGTTAGACACCAAGCCATGCAGAAATGTTACGATTATATGAATGGGAATAGCATCCATCTATTGGCCATGCTAACACAATGTGTTATTTGAGGTGCAAAAAGACGTTCAGTGTTTGCTAGAAAGCTAACAGCTTCCATCAGGATTCATTGCTATCACTGCAATATTTTCTGTCCTTGACCACGTGGAACTGTGGCCAAACTACACCATTATACTAATGTGCAAATGTGTCATTCTTTAAATCGATTTATTAATAAAAATACAAGATCATTGACACAAAACCCTGTATCCAAAAAGGTTTCTGCACATTTTACCACAGCTAAAGCTAATAGAAAAAAAAAATCCCTTAAAAGCAACTCCACCTTTAATCAGAGGTGTCAACGTGGGGCGATTCAACTCAACCGCTCAAACAGAAATGAACATTCTGATGGCGGCCTGGAAACACAGTTTTTTCCCTCTGCCCCCAAGGCTATCTGGAGCAACACATTTATTACACATGGGTCTCCCAATAATTTTAACTGGAGCTTTTTATGTCTCTTGGTTTTCTTGTAACATTGAAGGCTATTCAAAGTTTAAGTTCTTGTAAAACACACATTTCAAGAATGGGTCCATGGGTTATTGAGTGCTAAAGCAAATCACATTTAGCTACAGCCAGTGGTTTTGTTAACCTTGATAGCTGCAATTTGTATAAAAATACTTAAGACACTGGTATTGTATAATTGAATCCAATTTCAGTTATTTCCATTGGGGTGGTTCTGAAAATGACAGATTTTGCACAAGTTTAGTGCAAGGGAATGGGGTTTTAATATAGTGTGTAGCCAATGGAGAATAACCTTGTGAACCGCAGTTTGATCCATCACATCGAGATGTAGTGGAGTGACACTCTGAAAATAATAATGCCGAGCGCCAAAGCACAGATAGCCTTGTGACCCAGGTACAACTCATAAACTGCACTGCGGCATCAGCTGTGTTAATATCTTAATGTCATGTCCATGTTGACGACACAGTCCTGATTAATGCCCACTTTCCACAAACCTATTGAAACATGTGCGCCCATTACGCACCGCTAGTGCCTTGTTATAACACACCAATCATACAACACGAAGCGTATCACATTTCATGTTATCTCCAGCTTGACCATCTAAGATCGACAGCAGCACAACTGGGTGGTAAAGGCTGCCAGGGGGTGCAGCCAGTGGGGATTTGTGTCAAAGGAGATCGACAAAAGATGTCATAAAAGAAAAGTAAAAGTACTTACCCCGTTTGAACATTTTGCTGGCTTTAAGTGCTTGTCCTCCGCTGTCCTCTGAGATTCATCTACTGCTATATTCCAGACTTGAAGTTGGGGAGGCTGTCGTTTCGAAGATGATGGAGCTCGTCTTTGCGTCTCTTGAAACAGTAGTATGGAAATATCGACCAAACACCGAAAACAACTTGAAACAGCCTTAAACAAAGTTTGAGGAAAAATGTCTTTCAAACCTATGATTCACACGAAACTAGGACGTTTTTCACTGCTGCACAAAGCGCGCCCTGGTCTTCCACAGCCAACTCCTTGGACGCAAAAAGAGTCCGAGTCAGTGTCGAGGACCCGATCAGACGATATACAGGGTGTCTCCAAAACGCAACATTTAGATCAAGTAGCCAGCATCAGTGTCCTTCGCCGCTTCTTCAGATCCATTGGAATTGTATCATATTTGTTAAAATCTGCAATTAACATAAGTTCTTTGGAGTCCGCCTCTGAAGTGGGATTATGTACGCAGTCTCTCCAAATCCTCTTTAATAATGCAGACTTTGATGTCTTCTTTAAAATCCTCCCATTCTCGCTCGCTTTTCCACTCTTACATTTGTGTGATGTTGTCTAGACCTCTCGGCTTTACGCCAATGGATCACATCGTCGCTGCTTGACGCGCGGGGATGGAGACGGTGTGAGGAGGCTGCAGGCTGGAGCGGGCAGCATCCTTCACTGGCCCACACCGCAGGAAACAGCAGCACAGCGCAGCGCCAACAACAACACGCCTATAGACGCGATGAACTCCCAAATCAGGACATGACTGTTGTAAGACGAGCAGGAAGCGGTCTACATGTGTAGTACCTTCTTAAAAAGCAGACTGTTATAACTATACTCATCCTTATGGTTGGTTCTTAAGCAAATAACTGTTATGGAATGAAATGTTGAAACGGAACATAAACATTAAAGCCTCAACATGCAAGCCTTATCTCAATGACAAGTGTACCTTACAACGTGTCAAGTAACTTCCAACTTGTAGTTGTTTCCGTCTAAAGGATGCTTTTTTCAAGTTAGCTGTGTGTAGTTATTATAACAATACATTAACAGGACATTTACATTATATATACATAATTTATAGTATAAATATACTGTATATACATATTCCCTTTTTATAGGCATAAAGCTAACTTTAATCTTGTAAATATCCTGCTTTGTTTTCTTTAATACTTTATTTTTTGCTCTTACCCTGTGGAAATAATCATACTCCATTCAAGCGTTTCAGGGAAATAATTCCCGAAGTTTTAAACTGATATTGGTTGGATTGATATATTGGATCAGGTATTGCCTGATCAATATATCAATCAGCAAAATGGACATTCAAAATAACGCGAGAAGGCGGCTTGCAGGGAGAAACTCAGCAAACATGGTCAACTGTTCCAGCACTAGTTCCACCAACAGATAATAGACGTTGTTACCTTGTGAATGGAGTTAGTGCATACACATTCTAACAGTTCAGAAATTACAAATCCCTGGAGGCTCATGGACTTATTAATGGATTGGGTACAAGATTTACGCTGATTTCAACCAGAAGGATTGGCCAACACCTGTCACACAACAATGGTAAGATACTCATAATAAAAACACATCAACATGCACAAGTGCTATACTTTTATCTGTCACTGAAATATTTGTATAAATATAAATTATAATTATCACATCAAAATTTGAGGGTCCAAACCTGTGGGTTTCATAGGATTGACCTACACCAAACAGCATCCCTCTCGCCAAAACCCAACAACTTTATTCGAGTGTCCTGTTTTACTAGAACAGTCTTTTAAACAACACCTATGAGCCATGTTTTGGGAAAAGATAAATGTAAATTGAGGAAAAAAATAGCACATATGATGAAGGCTACTGGGAAGGTCGTTCTTTGGCAACGACACACCATTGTTGACATCCCCTCAATATGGCACTTGAACCCTGCATGTAAAATCTTGATCCTGTTAAGCCCCAGAAGTTGATCAGGGCAGAGCCTGGTTTTTGGTAGCCCACAGTGATGGGAAACCTCTGGGAACACCAGCGCCACAGTACAATGACCATTGTTGTGTTTCCCTACGTAAATCAATATTTTGGCCTAAATAAATTGGCACCATGACCATGGAATGTTTGAAAACAACCATTTATAGATTAGTTTGTTTTTTGCCCGACTGATATTTTGGTTACTTAGCACTTAAAAATTTCATGTTGAAAGTGAAGTGCTATACAAAGTACATTAATCATTACATTATGATTAGACCGACAGTAGTGCAAGAATATTATTACTGTTACACCCCGGCTCATGGAGGGCAACATAAAGGACAAACACTAATAAAACGTAACAGGTTTTATTAACAAAACCAAAAAGGGGTATGAAACAATACAAAACAAAAGGAAGTAAATGTGTGGAGATGAGGGCTGCTGCTGCTGCCGGCTGAGAGAGAGAGGGAGGAGCCAAGGCAGCCATTTTAAGGACTCCAGTGACTCCAATCAGAGTGGGCTGGAAAACCTGGAACTTTGAGCAGAGTCTTAGTTTCCCATAACACTTTCCCCCATAAGCAAGTTGGTGCCAACCAACATGCCATAATGTGGAACTCACGACCTTGAGAGGGCGTCAGCCAAGACGTTGTTGCGTCCTCTGATGTGTCGGATGTCCAGAGTGAACGCCTGCAGGAACAAGCTCCATCTCATGAGCCTCTGGTTGGTGTTCTTCATGCGACTCAGGGAGACCAAAGGATTGTGATCAGTGTAGACGACAACAGGATGGCTGGAAGAAACATACACTTCAAAATGCTCGAGGGCTAGGATTAACGCTAGAGCCAACACCCAAAAACCCCTCCTTTTCTATTGTAGAGTACCGACACTGGTCCCCACCCCCACCCCCCCCACCAAACCCCACCCCCACACAAAACCCCAACCCACCCCACCCCCCCACCCCAAACACACACCAACACACCCCCAAACCCACACCCCCCCCCCCCACCCCCCCCCCACCCCCAAACCACCCCACCCCCCACCCCCCCCACCCCCCCCCCCCACCACACAACCACAACACACCCCCCCACCCACCACCCCAACAACCCCCACACACCACCCCACCCCCCACAACCCCACCCCCCACCACACCCCCCCCCCACACACCACCCAATACCACCACAACACACAACAACACCCCCCACCCCCACACCCCAAAACCACCCCCCCCCCCCCCCCCACCCACAACACCACACACCCACCCCCCACCCCCACCCCACAACCACACCAACACACACCCAACCCACCCAAACCAAACCCCACCAACCACCAACCCACACCCCACACCCCCCCCACACCCCACCACAACCCCACCCCCCCCACCAAACCAACCCACCACAACCAAACAAACCACAACCACACCCCACCCACCCCCCCCCCCACCCACCCCCCAACCCACCCAAACAACACACCCCCACCCCACCCACACCCACAACACACCCCACACCCCCCCACCCACCCACAACCCCCCCCCAACCCACACACCACCCCAAACCCCCCCAACCCACCAACACAAACCCCCCACCCCCAAAACAACAAATACAACCCCAACCCACCACCCCCACCCCCAACCCCCACACCCCAAACCCCCCCCACCCCCCCCCCCACCCCCCACCAAACACCCCCCACCCCCCCCAACACACCCACCACCCCCCCACCCACACCCCCCCAACACCCCCCCCCCACCCCCCCCACACCAACCACCCCACCACCACCACCACCACCACCACCACCCCCCCCCCCCCACCCCCCCACCCCCCAAACCCCCCACAACCCCCCCACCCCCCACCAAACACAAAACACACCAACAAACCCACACCCACACCCCCCCACAACCAACCAACACAACAACCCCCACAAAAACACCCACCCCCCCCACCCCAAACACCCAAACCCCACCCAACCCCCCACACACAACACACACACCCCCCCACCCCAAACACCCCACAACACCCCACAACCCCCCCCTCAACCACCCACCCCCCCAACAACCACCAAACCCCCAACCCCCCCCCCCACCACCCACCCACCAAACCCCAACCCCCCACCCCAAACCACCCCAACCACCCCCCACCCCCCCCCCACCCCCACCCCCCCCACCCCCCCACCAAACACCACCAACCACCCCCCCCCCCCCCCCCCCACCCCCCAACCCCCACCACCACCAACACACCCCCCCCCCCCCCACCACCCCAACCCACCCAAACCCCCCACAACACCCACCCCCACACCCCCACCCACCCCCCCCCACCAACCCCCCCACAACCCACCCCCCCACCCCCACCCCACCCCCCCCCAACCCCACCACCCCCCCCCCCACCCCCCCCCCCCCCCCCCCAACCCACCCACCACCCAAACACAAACACCCCACAAACCACAAAACCACCCCCCCCAAACAACCACCCAACAAAACAAACCCACAACCCCCACCCCACAACCAACCCAAACAACCCCCCACCCCCCAAACCCCCACCACACCAAACCCAACCCCCCCCCACCACCAACAACCAACAACACAACACACAACACTACCCACAACCCACCACAACACAACAACCAACACACCAAACACAACCAAACACCCCAACCAACCCACCCCACCCAAACCCCCCCAACCCCACACCCCACCAAACCCCCCCCCCCACCCCACCCACCCCCCCCCACCCCACACCCCACCCACCACCCACCCACCCAACCCCCCCCCCCCCCCAACCCACTCCACACCCCACCAACCACCCCACCCCCCACCCACCCCCCAACCCCCAACCCCCCCACCACACCCACCCACCCCAAAAAAAAAACCCACCCACCCCCCCCCCCCCCCCCCCCACCCCCCCACCCCCCCCCCCCCCACCCACCCCCCCACCCCCCCCACTCCACCCACCACACCCACCCACCACCCCCCACCACCCACCCCACCCCCCCCCCCACCACCCCCCCCCCCAAACCACCCCCTCCCCCCCCACCCCCCACCCCCACCACCCCCCCCCCCCAACCCCCCACACAAACAAACCCCACCACCCAACCCACCAACCACACCCAACCCACACACCCCCCCCACCCCCCCCCCCCCCCCCCCACCCCCCCCCCACAACCCCCCCCCCCCCAACCCCACCCAACACCCACCAACACACCAACCCCCCAACCACACCCACCCAACCCCCACCCACAACCAACACCACCACCCCACCAACACAACCACACACCCCCCCCACCCCAACCCCCACCAACACCACACACCCCCCCCCCCCCCAACAAACCCCCCAACAACACCCCAAAAAAACACACACCACCCCCTCCCAAACACCCCCCCCAATCCAAAACCAAAACCAAACACCCCCCACCCACCCCCCCCCCACCCACAAAAAAACACCACAACCCAACACCCCCAATATCCCTCCCAACACACCACCCCCCCCCCAAAAACCCCCCCCCCCCAACCCACACCACCCCACACCCAAACCCCCCCAACACACACCCAAACAAACACACACAACAACCCCCAACCCACAACCACCCAACCCTCCACAAACCCCCCCAAACCCCCCCCCCAACCACCCCCAACACCACACACCCAAACCACCCCAACACCAAACCAACCCCCCCCCCCCCCCCCCCAAACCCCCACCCACCCACAACCCCCCCCACACACCCCCACCACCCAAAAACAAACACCCACCAACCACCACCAACCCACCCAAAAACCCCCCCACCACCCCCCCCCACCCAACCACCACAACAACCCACCCAAAACAACCACAAATCACATCCAACCAAAACACCCCAACCACACCCCACCACCAAACACCACCCCCCCCCCACCCCCCCACCACCCCACCCCCACAACCCCCACACCTCCACACCCCCCCCAAACCCCCCCCAACCCCCCCCACCACCCCCCACAAACAAACTACCACCCCACAACCCCCCCCACCAAACATCACCCAAACACCCCCCACACCCACCCACACAACACCACCCCACACCCACCAACAACACCAAAACACACACCCCCCCCTCCCCCCCCCAACCCCACCACCAAAAAAACAACCAAACAAACCACCCACACCCACACACCACCCCCCACCAACACACCCCCAACCAAACCCCCCCCCCACCCCATCCCCCAAACCAAACCCCCCCCAACAACCCCAACCCCACCCCCCCCACACAACAAACTACCCAATAAACCCTCCCCCAACCACCCCATCCCCCACAACACCCCAAACCACAAACAACCCACCAAAACCCCAACCCCCAAACAAAAAACAACACACCCCCCACACAACCACCCACCCCACCCACCCCCCCACCCCAAAACAAACCCCCCACACCAACCCCCCCCCCACCCCCCCCAAACAACCCAACCACCCCCCCACAACACCCCCCCCCCACCCCCACCACCCCCAACCAACCACACCACACCAAAACCCCCCCCCCCCCCCCCACACACCCCACCCCCACCCCCCCACCCCCACCACCCCCCCCCCCCACCCCCACAACCCCCAACCCCAACCCCCCCCACCAACCACCCCACCACACCCCCCCCCAACCACCCCAACCACCCCCCACCAAACAACCCCAAACCCCCACCCCACCCACACACACCCCAAAAACCAACCCACAAACCCCACAACCCCCACCCCCACCCAACCCACCCACCCACACACCACCACAACCACCCCCCAACCACCACACCCACCCCACACCCCTCAACCTCACCCCAACCCCAAACCAACCCAACCCCCCCCCCAACCCCACCACAACCACACACACCCACACCCCCACCACCCCCACACCACACCACCAAAACCCCACACCCCCCACCCCCCCCCCCCCCACAAACCCACCAAAACACAAAACCCCAACCACCCACAAAACACAACCAAACAAACCCACCCAAACCCACACTCCCCCCACCCCCACCCACCAACCCAAAACCACAACTAACCCACAAACAACACCCCCACAAACACCCCCCCCCAACCACCCCACAACCAAACTAAACACCCCCAAACAACCCACACCAACACCCCCACACCCACCAACACAACCCCAACCACCCACCCACACCCCCCCACCCCACCCACCCCACCCCCCCACCAACCCCCCCCCCCCAACCAACACACCACCCCAAAACAAACCAACACAAATCCATAAAAACAACAAACACAACCCCCCACCACACAAAACCAAAAAAAACATATAAACAACTTAACACCCCACACCCCTAAATCAAACCAATACCCCACACCCAACCCCACCACCAAACCCCCCCACCCCCACCCCAACCCCCCCACCCCCCCCAACCCCACCCACCCCCCCACACAACCACCCCACCCCCACCCACCCCAAAACTTCCACCCCCCCCACCACACCCCCCCACACACACACACCACCCCACCACACCCCCCAACCCCACCCCCAAAACCCAAAACCCCCCAAACCACCCAACCACACAATCCACCCCAACCCTCCACCAAACCCACCACCTACCCACCCCACCCACCCCCACCCCACCACCCAACACCCCACCCCACCCCACCCCACAACCACAACCACCAACCACCACCACCCCCCAACCACCCCCACCAAACCCACCCCACCCCCCACACCCAAACAACACACCCCCCCACAACACAACACCCCAACAAACACCACACCACAACCAAAACCCAAAACCCCCAAAACCCCCTCAACCCAACACCCCACCCCACCACCAACAACAACCACCACCCCCAACCCCCCCAACCAAACCAAACCCCAAACCAAAAAACCCCAACCCCACCAAACCCCACAAACCACAACCCACACCCAAACCACCCACACCCCACCCAAACAAAAACCCCCCCCCAACCCCCCAACAACCCATCAAAAACCCCACAAAAACACCCCCAACCCCAAACAACCCACCAACCAACACCCACCACCCCAACCAAACAACATACAACCAACACCCCAACCCCTACAACCACAACCCAAACCCCCACCACAACCCCCAACCAACACCCAACAAAACACCACCCCCCAAACCCACTAACAACAACCCCCAACCACACCAACAAACAAAACACCACAAAAACCCCCACCCACACCCCCACACCAAAATCACCACCCATACACCCACCACCACACACCACCCCCCAACAACCACCCCCTCCCACACCCACCAACCCACCCCAACACCACCACCCCCCACCACAAACCACCAAACAACACCCCACAAACCAAACCCACACAAACCCCCACCCACCCAAACAACACACAATAACACATCACTACCAACACCCCCATATAACTAATATTATATCAAACTTAAAAAATATATATCTAAACTCCCCTCCACAACAACACCCTCAAAAAACCCCCCCCACACACCACACAACCCCCACCACACCCACCCCACCCACACCCCCACCCCCAAACACCACAACCCCACACCCCACAACCCCCAAAAACTACCAACCAACAACAACACATACAACACCAAAATACAAATCAAATAAACAATCTAACACCCCCCACTCATCTTACTTCCTATACCTACTCTCCTTTTTCTATCTAATCCCTCATATCAACCATTTCTTCCCAACCATTCTCCCCCCACCTCCCTCCCCCCCACAACTTTCCCCATCATACATACAACATCCCCCCCCAATATACAAACCCCACCCAATAACCCACTAAAAACACATCAATCCCCCTAAACCCACCAATAACCCACCATACCCTCCCCCAATTAAATACCCAATCCCCATCACCAAACAAAAACAACCATCATCCCACCCATCCCCCTATCCCAAAAACACTTAATTCCCCTCCCATCAAAAAATTCAAAACAACAAAAACACCCCCCCCACCAACACCCACCCTCCTCATACCCCCCCAAATACCACACCTTCCACCACACCAACCATCAATCACCCAACCAATAAACATCCATCCCCTCACAACACACCCCCCCCCCTACCAAACCCCCCAATCACCAAAAACCAACCAACAACCCCCACCCCACACAAATCTCCCAACCCCCATCATTCTCCATACCACCTACTACCCCCCCAACCACACAAAAACACCACCTACTAATCACCACCCCCTAATTCTCATACAATCCCCCAAATCACACCTTCCCACACCCACCCTCACACATACACCCCACCCCAACCCTACACACCAATCCCACCACCATACAATAAAAACCACACATCATAAATCTCCCCACCCAACACCCCCCACTACACAACCCAAACACCACCCCCCCCCCCCAACAACTCCTTCAACAAAACCCCCCACCACCCCAAACATTCCCTCCATCAACCCTATCACACCAACTCAACATCAAACACCTACATTCCCTACCAATCAATCCACCCCCACACCAACACACACCAAATCCCCACAAACAAAACCACCCATATCCACTTCCCCATCCCTTAAAACACATCAAACTCCCCTCTTCTCAAAATACAAACCCCCCCCCCCACATTTAACAAAACACTTATCACAATTCAAAAATACCCAATCCCAAACCCATAACTAACAAACCCCATCCCACACCCAAACCCACTTTCACAACACCCACACACAAAATAATCTTAAAAATACCCCCAAATTTACTCTCTACCCCTCCTACCAACCTCCCCCCCCATATTAACCTCCCCCCCCCACCACTATTTAATACATCCACATCCCTCCTTATCACACCACCACATTAATTCCCCCCTTCCTCTCTTTAACACTCTTAACCACCCCCTATACATCACTCTCCCCAAACTTCTCACAAAACCCCATATCATACCTCACAATTACCAATACACCACACCAAAAAACCATAAAAAAAAAAAAAAACAAAAAATCAACATAATACAAAAACTACCTCACACACACAACACATCCCCATCCCCACCCAAATCACACAACCCACTTATTTCCCACCCACTCAAATTCCAACACTTAAAATCCCCCCATATCCCCCATAACCCCATATCCACTCCATCCTTCACAATATCTCTAACCTCAAAACCCAACCTCCCTAATACCCCTCAAAATCACCACTACAATTTTTCCCCCCCACCCCCCCCACCAACCCCTCCACAATCTTCCCTCACCCCCCCACAAAAACCTTCCCCCAAACATCCCCTCTCAAACCCCAATCCCAATACCCCCTCCTCCCCACCCCACTCTCAAAACCAAAAAATCACACACTCCCTACACAACCCCCCAAAACCAATCTAAACCCCAAAAACAACCCCACACCCCCCCAACTCACTAAACTTCATTCCATAACCTCTCATTCACCTCTCAACATTCCCACCCAACACCCCCTTCTCATACCACCTACACCCACCCAACCACAAAACACCCACCAATCACACACAAACCAAAACACAAAAACCAATATTCAACTCTCCATAACTCATTCCCCACATACTCTCCACCCACACTCCTTTCCCCAACCCCCCCATATTCATTACCACCCAACCACAAAACACACACCACTAATAATATATTCTCTCTAAACCCTCTACCCCTATAAAACCTATTCCCATTCATACATAACATCACACACTTTCCACTCATCCCCAATCTCCTCCACCCATATTTCCCCACTCCTCTTCCTCTTCTTCAATCCTAACTTTCTATCCTTTCTCTTACATTCTTTATCCTTCATTCCCTATCATCACATAAACTACAATATCTTCCCTATCTACTTCATTCCCTTTCACATATCCCCCATACCCTCCACCCACTTCTACCAATATTAACAAATACCTTTCCACCCTAATCCCATCCCTTATACCGTATTATTCATCTACGTATTTCTCACTATCACCCCCTTAACCACTCTAAATAAAAAAAATCATAATTCCCCAAACCCATAATCCACTCAAAACCAAACCATAAATCCATAAAAAAACATAATTCAAAATCTCACCTCTACCCTTAAAAAACAATTAAAATTTTTATCCCCCCACCAAAAACAAAACACAAAATACCTACATATCATAAAATTCACTCTTGAAACATCACACATAACCATCAATACTCAAACCCATAATAACAATTAACACCAAAAAAACTCTAATAAATTCCAAATACTAAAAATATCCCCTCCCACTTAGTCATCTATCAATGTAAAAATACCTTTACCAATGATCAAACTTATACTCAAACCTCATTACCAAACCCACATAACCACAACACACTTCACATACACCAAACACTACAAAAACCTTAACAACAAAATAAGACAATAAACAATAAACTTACAGCATAGTTTTATACCCAATATCTCATAATATCTCTCTCATACCTCTATAGTCTCTATAACATACACCTCCAAACATATCATCCCTTATTACATCATCACCCCTAAATACCATTCATACCTCCCTTACCCCCAATTACTAATTCTAACATTCCCCCTAAATTACAAAACTCTCAAAAATTCTATATATACTTCTTCCATAATAACCCCCCCACCCCCCACCACCTCTCATACACCACATCCACATCAAACCCAAATATCATATCAAATCCAATACCACCCCCATAAACCTCACATAATACTCCTCCCCTACCTTATATTCAACCATCCCTACCTCCCCTTATACCAATATTACATTCCATCCCCACTTCTATTCACATAACACCTCAACACCCCCTAACCAAACCAAACCTAAAACAACCCCACCCCACAAAAAACCACACACCAAACAAAACAACCATCCAAACTCTAATCCCTTCCAAATCCAACCACAAACCATACACCCAATCCACCAACAACACTCATTTATATCTTAAATATCCCATACACCCACTTAATCAAAATATTTTTTCATATTTTTCATCATAATATTACATTCTCCTTATTTCTTCACTTATCACCAAACATTACCCCTCACCACCTCTAAACAAACAACCCACCCTTATAACAATCATCATATAACCAGAAATTATATATTATACCCATAAAACTTTAATTAACAATATGATCACACCTCTATAAACCCAACACTCACCCACATATACATCACAACAACAAATCACACCCTCTCAAACAAATATATTCTCCTACTGACCATACACCCACCATATAAATTTTCTCAAATTAAATAAAATATAATAAAAATACATACCAACCCCCATACACCTTCCTATATACACAACCATTAATATTTTCACTACATTCCTTTCAATCTAAAACAACTCATATAACAATCATACTTATAATAAATTTACTATCTCTAACCATATTTTTTGCATCCATTCTTTACTTGTAACCTAGATTTTGTTCGATAACTAACCACCCATTTCCACCCCTCTTATCTCAATACCAACCACAAAAAAATTGCACTTGTTCAGTGCGTTTCCACTTTCTATCAATCAACCAATAACCCACCACACAACCCCCCCCCCCCAAAAACACCAAATACAACAACTACAATACATTAATCACCATCACATCATCAACTTCTCCAAAACACAACACTCCACATAAAAAAAACCACCACCACACTCCACACACCCACAATAAACTCCAAAATACTAAAAATCAACCCTAACCTCACCAAAACCCACTATACCCAAACCATACATCTACCCAAATAAAACACCCCCCACCTACCCCTTCAACCTCATACCCCAAATCCCTAACCACACCCCATCTCCCATACACAAACATCTCAACTCCCCCCATACCCAAACAATCCCAAAACCCCTAATTCAAAACCCTACACATCACCACCATCAAATTTCAAAATCTCTCTTTCCATATTCCACTCACCAAATACATCCCCCTTCCTCACAACCCCCCCCCCCCCCTATAATTCTCCTTCTCACTCAACCACATTCACCACCATTCACAAACAAACCCTCTTCATTTATCCTACTCTCACTCCCTTTCTTTTCTTCCTTTCCCAAAAACAACTTCTTCATACACTATATACCTCCAACCTTATCCTCCTCCTCTCCCTAAACCTTAACTACACTTCAATAATATACACCCTCATATATACCTTACATACTCAAACTCCCTATTTTTACTATTATCTATATCAATTACCCCAATTCTCCCCAAAACAACAATAAACCACCCCCTCACTCCCACACCATACCTTCCCTCCCCCACATTCACCAAAACAACCCCTTCTACACACCCCCATCCACCATTCCATTCACTCCAAAACGACCAACCACCTCCCACCAACCTAACTATCTCAAACCTCCCACCAATACTCACCCCTCTATATCCATCAATCCCCCCCCACCAAAACCCCTAATCCTCTAAATCCTACCCTTAATAATATTATCTCCACCTATTTCACAACCAACCCCCCCACATTAACTCCCAACCATTCCCCCACCACACACCCCACCCCCCCCAACACCACCACATCACTCACCTAAACAAATCCAAATCCTACCCCCCCACATCACCAACTCCCCCTACCCCCAAAACCCTCCCCCCACTTCCCACCCCCCCCAACCCTCCCCCCACTCCCCCACCCCCTACCCCCCAAATCAACCCATACTCCCCCAACCCAACCATCCCAAAACACATAACTCTCACCATCTCAACCCAAATCACATATTACATCAACCTTTCCCCCCCCCCCTAACATTCTAATAACCCATACATAATATCATTCTATTCCTAAAAAACCTCCAATCAATCCAAAACCAACCAATATCCATCATCCACCATATAACCTACAACACCCCCATCTACACATTCTACAAACACAAACCATATAATCACAACCCTACCCCACATACAAACCCCATACTACCCCCCATTCTATTTCCCTCCTAACCCCATCTCATCCCATCCCCACCCCACACCCCACCATAACCATATTCACAACCTAAAACTACCACAAACTCAAAACACAACAAACAAAAAAACACCCCCAACCACACCCCCAACAAACACCCACTCAAACCCTCACCCCCCCTTTCTAACAAACCACATACTATACCACCACACCAAAAACAATAACATTAAACCCATCCCTACCCCTCCACACACAATCCCTCTCCACCCCATATAACAACCCCCCTACCCAACTTAATAACCAAAAATCCAAATAATTATAATCAATATAAAAAAATATCACTTAACCATCCCCACTACACCTCCTTCCCACCTCCCACCCCACCCCCACCCCCCCTAATATAAACCCACAAAACCACATCTTCACCACACATAAATCCCAACCACCAATCCAACCCACTTCAAACAACCATCCTTCCAACTCCACCCCCCAAATCCTCTTACCCAACACCCCCCCCCAAATCATCACCCCCTTCACACAACAAACCACAACCCCCCCTTTTCTAAAATCAAATTCTATCATCAACCCCCTACCCTAAACCCCTACTCCTCTACAAAAAAAAAACTCCCATCCCTCCCAACCCCCCCCCAAAACCACCCTTTCCCATTCATCTTCCTCTCTTATCCCCCTAATCTAATATCCACCAAACCTATATCCCCCCCCAAAACAAAAACCCCTATACTCTCATACAAAAACTACTAACCACATCCACCCCCACCCCCTCTTTATTAATCCCCCTCCATCTCTCTCTAAATATTCCTTTCCCCCCCTCCTCCCCCTCTCCTAACCCCTCCCATCCCCCCCAACCCCCTACACAAAAACATCATCCCATAATTCTCCTTTACCCCCAACATAATCCCCTACCACAACTACTATCATATCTTCTCCCCCCAAACCCCCAAATCCCCAAATATACACCAACAACCCCCACATACTAACATAACCACCCCCCATCCAATCCATACCACCCCCATATATATACCTACCCAATACCCCACATTTACCAAACATACACATAATATCATACACCATCCAAACAATAAAACACCATTCCAATAAAAACACCCCCCCTAACCACCAAATTACCCCCACACCAAACACCTATTATCCCAACAAATACCCCCCCATACTAAAACTCACCCAACCAACAAACCCCCCACACCAAAACCACCACCCCCCTCACTCACACCCCACACCCAATCACCCACCCCACCCCAACAAACTACCTTAACTTCATATTAACTCCAAAATTCAACCCCCCACCACTAACACCACTCCCCATAAATTATCCCCCTAATACCCCACACCCCCCAAACCCCCCATAAACATACCCAATATCTCACACACTCCCCTCACCTTCCAACCAAATAAAACATCAAAATACCCCACCCTCTAAAACACCCTTCATCCACATTTCCTTCCCCCATATCCCTACCTCTCCCTCAAATCCTCCCCCCATTATATCCTCCCATTTCTATACCCATTCCCAATCTATACCCATTCATCTCCCACCATAAAAAATTTAACCCCCTCCCATACCAAACTCCCCCCCACTATTCTAAAATCCCCTCAATTTAATCCACCCCCCTACCTATCCAATTACACCAAACATCTCATACCTAAACACACCCTACAAACTACCTAATACCCCCATTATAAACTCCCTAAAATTTTCTCTTAATCATTCTATAATCATAAAAATATCCCCAACAATATACACAAAATCCATACCCAAATACCATATCCCATTCCCCTCCACTTCCAATTCCATCAACAAACACCCCCACCCCCCCAACCCTTCAAAAACCTACCATCCACCCCAAACCAATATACCACCCCACCCCAACAACCACCCCCCTACCACATCCCCACCTATACCCTCTCCACAACTCCACACAATACAACCCATACATACTAACAACCTTTCAAAATTAAACCCATTTCAACACCACTACCCATCCACACACTCTCCCCCACCACCCTATCATCACCCTCCCCAACAACCCTAAACATTCTCCTCCCACTCCCATCCCCAAACCACAATCTCCCTTCCCCCCATTACCCTAAACCCACACCTCCTAAAAAAACTCCTCACACCCCTTATTAACCCATTACTTCTTCATTACACTACCCCCCATAAAATATACCTCATCTCCCAAACCCACCAACCCCTTTTTTTAAAAAAATTTTTTCCCCCCTCCCAAAAACAAACCCACAACACCCCCTTAATTTCATCTTCAAAACATCTATTAAATTCCCACATATCCCCACCCCCCAACTATCCCATATTAATTTACAAACCCCTCCTAAACCCCTAAACCCCCAAACAATCTCTCCCCACAACTTCCCAACAATAATTTTCCAACCCTCTCATTTAAATCCATCCCACATAATATCCCACCCCTCATCACCACACAATCCAATTAAACACACTATACCTTAACACCCTCCTCATCACCCACACATCCACTCTCACAATCATACATAAATAAATCCCCTCCAACTCCTTCCATCTCCCCCCCAAAATCCCCCTACTTACCCAAAACTACCCACCTCCCAAATTAAAAAAACCCCCTACCACAAACCTAAAAATCAAAAATATCATTCTCATCCCCTATTAAAACACCAAAACCACCCCCACCCACACAAAATCACCCTTCACCACCCACCTCAAACACAAAAACAAAATCCCACACACTCCTAACCCAACCATACACCCCCCATACCCACACCCACATCCCATACCAATCCATACAACCCTAAAATACACCACATCAACAAAAATCTTCCACATCAATAAACCACCCAACCAATCCAACAACCACACCATCACTAACAACACAACACCCTAACCCCCCAATACAAACCAAAAAACAACCCAAAAAAAAAATTAACATCCTTAAACCACCAACCCAATCACCATCTTAAACCAATCAATCCACATACTCTAAAAAAACTAACCCTAACCATCCCTCCCCAAATTACACCCCACATCATACACCCTCCACCCCCCCTCCCCCCCAAAAACACCACCTCTTCTTTCATTCTTCCCTCTCACATCTCACACCCCCCCTAAAACATATCACCCCAACCAAATCTACACAACCATCCAAACTAACATCCCTATCTATCCCAAATAATTAAACACAAAATACTATCCCCCCTCACATTTCAAACCCAAAAAATTACAATCACCATCAACACCCCCCCCCCTCCTAACCCTACTTAATCTCCCACCCCTCTCTTCCCACACATATCATCATCCATAAACAACCATCCCACCCCATCACCCACACACTCATTCATCCCTCTTATATTTTCCCCATCATCTCCCCTCCAATACCCTTCCTATTCTCTTTTATCTCCAACCAAATACACACTTCACACCTAAATATCATTTAACACCCCAACAATAACCATCCCCTACACTTACCCCCCCCTTCACCTCCCAACCCTCACAATTTACCAAATTCCAATTAAACTATCAACCCACTCACCATAACATCTATAAATATCCTCTCCCTTTAACAATCCATCTAAAACCCCCCACCACTTCCCTATCAAATCAACAAACCACATATAAACTAACCCACTAACCCAAACATAACAAACACAATCAATCCTCCACAATTCTATTTTTCCCCACCCCCACATAAATTCAACAAACCCCCATCAAATCTATCATATCTTCAAACACTCCATCCCACATACTATATATCTATCCCAACTCACCCTACTCATCTTATTCCATATACAACCACAATCCAAAACACAAATACTCCAACTAATACACTACCATACAACAATACTCAATATCAACACACACCCAATACTTCCACCATCATCCCCCTAACCTACAAAACACCACCTAAACCCAACCCAACACAATCCCTCTATCAACTTTCAACTACTCACTCACCACCCTCTATTAAAAACCCCCCCAAACCCCCCCAAAACTCCTTATTATCTTATTCACTCCACACTCACACCTCCCTCCTACCATTTAACCCCACTTCCTACCTTTCCACAATATTCAAAACCATAAAACAAAAACCAAACCCCAAATACATTAAAACCCCACCCCCACAACCCCCACAAAAACAAAAACAAACAACCCCCACCCCACCCCCCAACCCACACACACCACAACACCAAACCCCCCAAAACCCCACCCACCCCCCACCCCCACCCCCACCCCCCCCCCCCCACCACAAAACCCCCCCAACACCCCCCCCCCCACCACCCCCCACCCCTCACCCCCCCCACCCCCACCCCACCCCAACCACCACCCCACCAACCACCACAAACCCCCCCCAAACCCCCAACACCCCCCCCCCACACAACCCCACCCACCCCCACCCCCAACCAAAACCACACCCCCACACCCACCCACCACCACCACCCCCCACCACCACAACCCCCCCCCCCCCACCCCCACCCCCCCACCCACCCACCCAAACAACCCCCCCAACAAACAAAAAAACAAACAACACAACCCCACCCCACAACCCCAACCCCACCCCACCACCCACCCCCCACACACCACCCCCCCACCCACCCCAAAACCAAACAACAAAACCAAACCCCCACCCCCCCCACCACAACCACAACCCCCACCCCCAACCCCACCCCCACCAACCACCCACATCCCACACCACACCACACACACCCACCCCAAACCAACCCAAAACCCACCCCCAACACAAAACCACCCCCCCCCCCCCCCCCACCCCCCACCCCCCCCATCCCAACACCCCCACACACACACCCACCCCACCCCCCCCCCCCCACACCACCCCCCACAAACCCCCAACCCACCCCCCCACCCCCACCCCCCCCAACCCCCAACCCCCCCCCCCCCCCCCCACCCCCCCCCCCCCCAAAAAACCAACACCACTACACACACCCCCCACCACCACCCAACAACCCCCACACATCAACACCCTCAAACCAAAATCAAACCCCCAACCTACACAACCCCCACCCCCCCCACAAACACAACACCACAAACACCACACACACACCACAACACCCCCACCACCACCTAACCAAAACTCCCCCCCCCACCCACACCAAATCACCCCAAAACCACCCACACAACAACCCCCACCCACAACCCACACAAAACACCCAACCCACCCCACACCAAACCCCACCAACCACCAACCCCCACACCAACCCCACCCCCACACCCCACAAACCACCCCCCCCCACACAACACAACCCACCAAACCACAACCCAAACCCAACCACCCCCACCCCCCACCCCCCCCCAACACCCACCCCCCAAACCCACCAAATACAACCCCACCCCCACCACCCACAACTCCACCCCACACCCCCCCCCCCAACCCCAAACACAACCCCCCCCCCACACACCCACCCAACCCCCCAACCCACCCAACACAAACCCCACCCAAACCCCAACAACCCAACAACAACCCCAACCACCACCCCCCACACAACCCCCCACCTCCACCCCAACCAACCCCCCCCCCCCCCCACCCACCCCCCAACACACTCCCCCCACCCCCAACCCAACCCACCACCCCCCCACCCACCCCCCCCCAACCACCCCCCACCCCCCACACCACCCAACTCCCCAAACTACACACCTAACACCACCACCAAACAACACCCCAAACCCCACCCACACAAACCTCTACACCCCCCAACCCAAAACAATAAAACACCACCCCAAACCCAAACCCAACCCCACCACATACCAAAACCAACACAACAACCCCACACACAAAACAACCCAACCCCCACCCCAAAACCCCAACCCATCCCAACACCACAAACAAACACACACACCCACCACACATCCCCAATCCAAAAACCCCCCAACAACAACATCACCACCAAACCTACTCCATATCCCAACACACCAACCCACCCTACAACCCCTACAACCCATACCACTTAATCAAATCCTCAACACATCACACACCCCAACCCCAACACACCCCCCACCCTCCCACCAAACACCTACTTCATTATCCATTCCCTAACCACCCCCACCCCCACACACCTAAACAACTTCCCCCCCTCATCCCTCATTCCTAACACACCCAACCCCCTCCCTCCAAATTAACCTCACCTTCCCCCCACTATTATCACCATCCCACCCACAAATCATACCACCATCAACACTCCCACCCCCCACCCATTCCTAAACCCCCCCCCTCATCCACACCACCCAAAACCCATAACAATAAAACCCACCTCAAACTCACCCTCCCAAAACACAAACCCCCTCCACACCCCCCACCAACAAACCAACACCCTCCCTACCCCTACCCCCTTCAAAACTCTACTTATCACAAAATCTCATCATATTCTACCCCCCCCAATTTCTTCCCCCTACCCCCTTCTTCATTCATTTACCTCATTACCATCCACCCCATCATTCCATTCACACCCCCATATAATTAACAACAACCACACCCATTTCCCCCACCACCCCCACCCCCAAACCCACACCAACCCCACCCCAACCCAAACCACAAACACAAACATAACAAACAATAAACCAAAACTTACAAAAAAAAATACACACAAAATCAACTCAACACTCACATAACACCACCACTTCCCATCCTAACCCAACCAAACCACCCATAACACCACACCAACAACTACCCCACCACCCACCCATCCCCAAAAACCCAACTCCCCCCACTCCCAACTACCCATACACCCACCCCACAAAAAACAACAACCAAAAAACAAACATTCTAATCTCCCCTACACAAACCAACCCAAACCATCCCCCCCCATAACCCCAATCCCAACCTCCCAAACTCCATATACAACAACACCCCACCCCCCCCCCAAACCTACCCCCCTACCCACCCCAATAACCTAAACACCACTCCACCACAATCCTAATCACCTACCTCACCAACCAAAACTCAACATCCTCCTCACCAATACACCCCCCCCCCCACATCATCACACCCCCAATCACAAACCCTACCCAAACTCAAACACACCCATCTAAAAACAACATAACCCACCCATCTATTCTATATCTCCCACTCCCATAACATACAACAAATACCCTCCTCACTTAAATCAATACACCCCCATACACCCCCAAAAACCACCCACCACCCCTCACCCAACCACATCATACACCTCACCCCCCCCAAAAATACAATCCCCTTATCCCACTAAATCTTCATTCAAAACAATCTATACCAATACCATATAACCCCCTCCCCTCTTCTCTCATCCTCTCATTCATATCTCCCCATCCTCTCACCCCCCAACCCACTCATACACATAAAAACCCATATCATCACCCCCCAACTTCCAAACCCCCCACCTCACCATTATCACACTATTTTTACTCTATCCATAAACCCATCCCTCACAAAAACCCACCCCATTCCTTTTCACAAAAATTATCACCCCAAATCCCTCCCCACCAACCCTCACCCTCCCCACAAATAACACCACTAACCCATCACCCCCCATATCATACCATACCCATATACCACTCCCCCCCCCCCATATAACACACCACACCACCCAATCCCCAAACTCCCAACCACCCCCCCCCCACAATCAAAACCCCAATTCCTTTATATATAAACTAAACCACTTCCATTAACTAACATAACCCCCTACCTCTTCCACAAAATTCAAACACCACCCCAATACATTCAACATTCCATCACAAAATTCATCCAACTCAACCTTCTCCTTCCCCCAACCCCCCCCAACCACCCCACCCATCCAACATCCATCATAACTTCCACCAACACAATCCCTACAAACTCACAATATCATACCTCACATCAAACAAATCACTACCCCCCATCCCAATAACAACCTATCAACCCCCACCATCCATTTAAACAAAATTCATTACCACCATTCAATACCCTCCAACCTCTATTCATAACCCTTTACCATCCCCCTAACAATATCTCCCTCATCCCCCCCTTTTCAAATCCACCAAACCCCATCCCACCACCACCTCCCACAACCACCACCACCCCCATACTCTCACCCCAAAAAACCACCTAATATCTCCACCCACCATAACAATCCCTTACAACAACCATAATCCACCACTACCATTCCAAAAATTCCAATCCCCTCATAATCCACTCAAATAATACACCCATCTCCTAAAAACAAATCCTCCCTCCTCACAATCACATATCCCCAACATTATACTACCATTACTCCATCCTAAACAAACCTCCTAAAACAACCCCTAAACAATCAACCCAATTTTAATACACCCAATTATCATCCATCTCCAAACTACATCCCCACCACCCCCCTTCATCCTAAACTAATATCACACCCACAACCCAAACATCCCAATAAATTCACCAAAAATTCCCAATTCCCCCAACCCCCCAAAAAACACCTACAAATATACATCCCCCACATCCCCTTACTTCTCCAACACCCACAATCAAATACAAAACCACAATAAACCAAACACCAACATACAAACATCCACAAAACCCCCAACACATCCAACCACCAACCCACAACCAACCATATAATATCCCCCCAATCCCAATCACCCAAAAAAAACCCCCCACCCATCCACACCAAAACTCCCCCCTAACAACAAACCCCCCACCTAAACATACACCCACCCCCTCACTCTCCTATCACCTCATAATTTCCCAACAACCCCCCAAAAACATCAAAACCCAAAACAACAACCTCCCCTAAAAACCACCAACTAACCCCAAAATCCCCCCCAAACCATTCCAACACACCTCCACTACACCACACACCCCCCCCCCCAACCCCAAACCACCAAAACTCACTCCCCACATCCACCCAAAAAAAACTATTCTAACTCCATTTTTCAAACACAAAAAAAACCATAAACCCCACACAACAACTCAATCCCCCAACATCAACACCCACCCACATTCCACCACCCCCACTCCCACCCACACCCCCCCCCCCACCCCAAACCCCCACACAAACATACCAACCACAATTCCAACCAACCTCTTAACAAAACAATTCCCCATATTCCTCAACTACAAACACCACCTCCTCTCAAATACTCAAACTCTCCAAAACATAAAACACACCACCACAAACCAACCTAAAACAATACACAATCCCAACCCCCCATAAAACCAATACAATTAAATAAATATCTACCAAACTAATCCCCCATAAACAAACCATAATTAAACAACCATAATATCTTCACCACTATAACCAAACCCCCTCAACACAAAACCTCCACTTAAACTACCCATCAACAAACACCACAATCCACAAACACCCAAATAAAAATCCCAACATCACCCTCCAACCACCCCCCCACCCCTCCCTCCCATACCTTCCTTACCCCATCCAAACACAACAACACCCCCCAACAACCAACCATCAACCATCAACTTCCTAAACTTATTATCTCCACACCCCACTACTAATCATAATTATTTACATTTTAATCATTTTCCCCAACTCACTATTCAATAACACATTTCCCAACACTCCCCCTACCAAAATACACCAAAACCCCCACATCCCCTCCCCCCCTCACCCACCCAAACACAAACCAATCATACAAATTCCAAATTAATAACAATTATTCCTACACCCCTAAAAACAACAACCACCCAAAATCTCATCCTCAAATACCCACCACAATCCCATATCCACTACCCCCCCATTAATCCCACTTTACCCACCATACACAATCCCATCTAAAAACCCACATACCTCTACTTTACCATCCTCCTTCCATACAACCCAACACCTCATCCAACACCATTCCCCTCCAAACATTTAAAAATATTAACTCATCATCACCCACTTCCATCCAACCATAATCACTCCCTCACTCCCAAAATCATACATAACCATATAAACACAATCTCCACCTCTCAAATAACTAAAACAAATAAACAAAAATACAAAACCATAATAAAACATAATAAAATAATATCCCCCCATTATCAAAATACCATACAAAATATTATAAAAAACATCCCCATTCCACCCTCCACATCCACATCCACATCTCTCAATTTTTAACAATATCCCTCAAAAAACTTCCCTATTCCATTCCCTCCTCCAATTAATACAAATACCATCCCTTACTTATCTCCCCCCCCATCCAACCCAAATCCTCAATAATCCCCCTCTTAAATAACCCACAACCACCATATTACAACCCCTAACAAAATCTATCCACCCATCCAAACAAAAACAACAACTCCCATACACATACATAATCTATCCAATTTTTACACCTACAAAATCCTCCCCCTACTTCTCAAATATATTATCCAACACAAACTTCACTCTACAAATCATCCCCCTTCCTCTCATATAATTTATCTCATATCCCCCACCCTCTCACTCCAAAATCTCCCAACCTTATCACTCCCTCCTCATCTAACTCCCCCCTTCATTACCCATCCACATACATACTTTACATCAACCCCTCACTCTCCCACCCCCTCCCTAAAATCTAATTACCACATAAACAATACCCCACCTATCCCACACACCCATATAACACCCACAATTTCTTCTTACTATAACCCATATATTATATTTTTCTCACTAACTATTTATCTTTTCTTTTCCCTCCTCTTCTTCCTTTCTATTTAACCCCACCCCTCTACCTATCTAACTCAATCTCCCTCCAATACCCCTATCCACCCAACTATTATAATATCTTCCAATCCCACACTCAAAAAAACCCTAACATTCCTCCAACACCTTCTATAAAAATTAACTACATTTAATATTATATTATTTCTTCCCCCCCCTCTCTTTTACTCTAATCCCTCTACTCCTTTTCTATTATCCCCATATCAACATTTTCTCAATCCATTCTCCACCTCATCCCCCCCACAACTCCCCATATACATACACTTCCCCCCACATTTACAAACCCACCCCATTACACCCCTATTAATCACTCTCTATCCCCTATTCCCCCACTATTCTCTCCCTTTCCCTCCATATTAAATACAATCCAATCAAACAAACAAAAAAACCATCATCCCACCCTCCCCCTATCCCCAAAAAAAATAATTCCAATCACACTATATAATTCAAACAAACAAACAACCCCCAATACACCTCCCCTCCCTTCCCCCCAATTTAACTCTCCCTTCCCCAACCACACCAACCATCATCACCCACAAATAAACCTCCATCATCCAACACACCCCCCCTACCCAAACCCAAATCACCCAAAAACCAACCAACAACCCCACCCCAACCCACAATCTCCCCAACCCCATAATCTCATACCCACCTACTACACCCACACTCAATAACACCACCTACTCAATAACCACCCCCTAATTATACAATCCCCCAAAATAACACCTCTCCCACACCCACCTAACACATAAACCCCACCCCAACATACACACCTCATCCCACCACATATATAAAAAAACTCAATCTATCATATCCCCCCTCCCAAATCCCCAATCCACCCCTTACCAAACACAACCACCACCCCCCCCTCCCACCCAACAACCCTAATTCAAACAATACCCCAACCCACCACAAATTCCCTCCTTCAACTATCTAACAAACTCTACACATCAAAAACCTACATTCTACCCATATCACCCCCATCCATAATATCCTATCTCCCCAACTTCAATACAACCCCTTTTCACTTCCAATCCCTTTAAAATCTCAACATCTCCCCAATCTCTCTCAAAAATAAAACCCACCCCCAAACCATTTTCAAACAAAACCTTATCACCCCCACCATTCCTAAATCAACATCATACATCACCAAATATTATTTCAATTCCCTTCCCACACACCATACCATCTTCCACTAAACCCACACAAAAAAATAATATTATAAATCACCCATTCTTCCCCCTCCCCCCCCCCACATCCTCCTTCCCCTTCTCACAAACCTCCCCCCATATTAACCACTATCACCCATCTACCCTACTATCTTTCCATAATCCACCAACCCCTCCTTATCCACACCCCAATTACTCCTTCTCTCTATCAACATCCTTAACCACCCCCCTCCTACAACACTCTTCCAACACTTCTCACAAAACCCCTCATCATACCAAAACATTAACCATAAACACCAACAACAAATAAAAACACAAAAAAAACAAAAAACAATCAAACATCAATAACAAACAACTACCCTACCACAAACACCCCAACCCCACCCCCCCCCACACACACACACCACATACAAAACCACCAACCAACTACCCCACCACAACCACCCCCAACACCCCCCACCCCCCCAAACCCACCCACACCCCCAACACACACACCCCCCCACACCACCCCCACCACCCCCCCCAACCATAAACCCCACCCCCCCCACCAACCCCAAACACCCACTAACCACACCCCAAACACCAAACCCCACACCAACCCCACCCCACCAACCCCCCAAACCCAAACCCCACCACCCACCCCAACACACAACCCCACCAAACACACTCAAACACCCCCCCAAACCCCCTCAACACCACACCCCAACCCCAACCCCCACAAAAAACTTAAACCTTCACCCACACAAAACAAACCAATCAACCCCCAACCCCACACACCCAAACACCCCCCAACACACACCCCACCACCCAACCAACCCAAAAACCCACAAACCATCAACCACAAACCCACAACAACAACCAACAAACCCCAACTCCCCATCCCCAACCCCCATATATCCCTCTCACCAACAACAAAACAACCACTAATAAATAAACTACACTCAAACTCTACCCTATAAAAACCTATTTCCAATCCAACCATACCTCACACCACTTTACTCATCCCCCATCTCCCTCCACCCCCTCTATCCCACTCTCCTCTTCTCTACTATCCTACAACTTCCAAACCCACAACCCTTACTTTTACTACATTTCACTATCCAAAAAACTCCAACACACTTCTCTCTCTTCTTCTTAAAAACCCATACCTCAACCCTTCTCACAATTTAAACATACCTTCCACCCTTAATCCCCATCCCTAACTCCCAAATAATCCTCACTTCAATACACACACCCCAACCCAACTCAAACAAAAAAAACAACCCCCCACCAAACCCACTCAAACCAACCAAACAACCCCCCACCACAACCACAACCCCCCACCAAACCACCACAACACACCCAAACACACACACCACCCCCAACCACACAACAAACACCACCACAACCCCCACCCCCACAACCACACACACCCAAAACCCCACCACCCAACCCCCCAACCCCCCACCCCACCACCCCCAACCCCACCACACCACCCCCCAACCCCCCCCCCCCACAAACCCCCACCCCCCCCCAACCCACCACCACCCCCCCCCACCACCCCCAACCCCACCCCCCCAACCCCCACTCCCCAACCCACCCACCAACCCACCCCACCACACAAAACCCCCCCCCACCCAAACCCACCCCACCAAACAAACCATACCACACACAATATACTCTACATTCCATCATCACTAAATACCATTCCTACCTTCCTTCCCCACTAACTAATTCTCACATTCCCCCCCTAAATTAAAACCCATCTCACCACCAACACACACACAAAACCCACCCCCCCCCCCCCCACCCCCCCCCCACACTCAAACCCCACAAACCACAACCCCAAAACCAAACCCACCCCTACCCCCCCATCACCAACACACCACACACACACCAATACAAAAACCCCAACCCCACACCACCCAAAACACACACACCAACCACCCCCCTAATACACCATAACACCACAACACCCCCCTCACAAACACAACCTACAACAACCCAACAAAAACACCACACAACCCAACCAAAAACAACATCCCAACCTTAAACCCTACAACACCCCAAACACCACACACAATCCACCAACAAACCACCTCATTTTATTCATATATACCCACCCCCCTTCCACTACTCTTTTTATATATATCACCATCCTCTATACCAACTATTATTATTCTTCCATATACCCAACAATACCCTCCCCACTCCTCACACCCCCCCCCAAAACAAACCTCATCTACACATACCCATATCAATACCCCCACACCCATTCAACACAATAATACACACACCATAAAACAACCACACCAAAAAACATCACCACACCAACAACACCCCCCATCAACCCAATAATTCCCATACATACCCTACACCCCCCAATATTTACTACCCCACAAACCAAAAAACAAACACCTATCCTACCAACCCCCAAAACCCTTCCACAAACCCCACACCAACACACCCCACCACCCACAACCAAAACCCCCCCCCCCCCCCAACACCCCCCCTCCAACACAACCCCAACAAACACCCCCCCCACACCCCCACCAACACCCACACCACCACAAAAAAAACACACCCACACACCATACCCCCCCCAACCCACAACCCCCCCCCCCCCATCAAAACCCTAACTAAACCACACTCACCCCACACCCAACCCCCAAAACCACAACCCCCCCAATCATAAACAATATACATACCTACTACCTCAAACCCAAAAATAGCCCACCACATCACCACCAACCACAAACACCCAAACCACAACCAAACACCCCACACACAACACCCCCATCCACCACAAACCCCCCAACCAATCCACCCAACACACACCACCACCCACCCAACCCCCCCCACACCAACACCCCACCAACCCAACACCCAAACCAACCCCACACCCCCCAACCCCACAACACCCCCCACAAACCCACCCCAACCCACCCAACACCCCAACCCCACACACAAAAACACCCACCCCATCCCACCCAACCCCACCCCAACATAACACCCAAAACCCTCTCCCACAACAAAACACAAACCATTTCACAAAACAACAACACCCCCACCCTCCTCCCACACTCCCCCCCCCCCAATAAACACCTTACTACACCACACCCCAAACCCCACAAACACTTCAAAACCAAATCATATATCCCCACTCCTCAATCCTTTTTCCTCTCTTATATACCTTTTTTCAAAAAAATTCTTCAATACCTATATACCTCCTACCTTATCTCCTCCCTCTCCCTAAACTTAACTACCCTTCAAAATATTACCCACCTCATACAAATACCTTCCATACTAAACATCCCTATAATTACTATTATTATATCAATTCCCCACATCTTATCCCCCCCAAACACCCATAAACCACCCCCACTCACTCCCCACAACCATACTTCCCTCCCCCCAATCTCACCCAAAAACCAACCCCTTCCTAACAACACCCCCCCATCACCATTCCATTTTACTCCAAAAACTACCAACACTCCCCACCCAACTAACTACTCAAACCTCCCCACCAATACACACCCCCTCTATATCATTCAATCCCCCACCACACCCCCAAAACACCAAAAATCTACCTTAATCAAATTTATAATTAAAACAAAATAACTCCACTTACAACCCCAACCCCCAACATAAAACCAAAACCATTCCACTCCACAAAAACCCTACCCCCCCTTCAACCCATCAACACTACACAACCAACCCCACCTACAACAACCCCCCCCCACAACCACCCACACCCCTACCCCTAATTCCCCTCCCCCACTCCCACCCCAACCCCTCCCCCCCCACTCCCCCACCCCCTACCCCCCCCCAAACATCTACCCATAATCCCCCCCACACACCCCATCCCTAAACACACATAACTCTCCACCATTCAACCAACCCACATATTCACACTCCACCCATTCCCCCCCCAACTCTTCTATACCATAATAATACATTCAATTCCTAACAAACAACTCCAATCCTCCAAACCCAACCAACCAAATCCATCATCACCATATCAACCCAACAACACCCCCCCCATCCCTAACATCCTACAAAACACAAACCCAAAAATCTACCCCCAACCACATACAAACCCCCCAAACCTACCCCATTAACTATTTCCTCCTACCCCCAAAACTAACATCCCCCACAACCCACCCCCCACCCACCACCCCAACACAACAACCACCACCACCCCCACCCAAAACCCCACCCCCCCCAAACAACACCCACCACACCCCACAACACCCCCCAAACCACACCCCCCCATATAAAACAAACAAATAATCCACCCCCCACCCCCACTACCCTAAATAACCACACCAACCACACCAATCACAAATCCCACTCCACCCCCATCAAACACCCCCCCAACCCCAACTTAATAAACAAATCCAACTAATTCATAATCAATATAAAAAAATCCAATTCAAACATCCCCCACTATTCCCTCACCATCCACCCCCCACCCCCCATCACCTATCTATATACCCACTTCAACCACATTCTTCAACTCATAAATCCAACCCCACCAATCACCACACCCCCTCATCTAAAACCATCCCTTCCCCCCAACCCACCCCAAATCCACTATACCCCAACCACCCCCCCCCCCATCCACAACCCCATTCACCAAAACCCAACCCCCCCCATCATCAAAACCAAATTCGATCATCCCCCCCTACCCCTACAACCCCAATCTTCCCTCTACATCAAACAACCAAACTCCCTTTCTCCCAACCCAAAACCCACCCTCCCACTTATCCTTTCCAATCTTTCCCATACTCTCATATTCCCCACAACACTATATCCCCCCCAAACACAAAAACCCCTATACCTCTCCATCCAAAACCTACTAAACCAATCCACCCCCCACCCCTTTTATAAATCCCCCCCCTCACTCTCTCTCTAAATCTCCTCCCTTTCCCCCCCTCTCCCCACTCTCCTAACCCCCCACCCCACTCCCCCCCAAACCTAATCAAACACAAATACCCATAAAAACACCAAACCCCCAAAAAAACCAACACCCCCCCACCACTAAACACAACACCCCCCCCCCCCAACCAAAAAACCCACAACAACCCCCAAACTAAAACACCCACCCCAACCCACCACCCAACCACCCCCAATATAACCCCCCCCACCCCACAACAACCCCCCAAATACAATAATATCATAACACTCCACAACCCATACCACAAAATCACTAAAAAACCCCCCCTAAAACACATAACCCCACACAAACACCCAATATCCCCATACCAATACCCCAAACTACTCAAATCAACACACCCAAACCAACCCACACAAAACCCCACCACCCCCCACACTACACACCCAACCCCCCACATCACCCACCCCCACACAACATACCATTACAACTTCATATAACCCTCCAAAAATTCACCCCCCACCACCTACACATCCCATAAATTATCCCATACAATACCCAACACCCCCCCATACACCCCCCCATAAAACCATCCTATATTCTCACAAACACTCCCCTCCACATTTCCCACCACCAATAAAACATCTAAATTCCCCCCCTATTCAACACCCCTTCCATCCTTTCCTTTTCCCATATCTACATCTCCCTCAATCTCCCCCCTTAAATCCTCCCCCATTATCACCCCATCCTCCCCAATCTATACCCATTCATCCTCCCACACTATACAATTCTACCCACCTCCATCACCAAACTCCCCCCCCATATCTTAAAATTCCCCCTACTTTAATCCAACCCCCCTACCTATCATTAAACCCCCTAACAATATACCCTAAACACACCCCCCTACCAAATACCCCATAATACCCCCATTTAAACTCCTAAAATTCTTCCTCTTAATCAATCTATAAACCCATTAAAAAAAATCCCCAACAATATACCCCCAAAAACTCTACCAAATACCATATCCCATTCCCTCCCCATTCCAAATTCCAACCCCACAAACCACCCCCACCCCCCCCAAACCATCAAAAAACCACCTACACCCAAACCCATATACACACCCCACCCCACACACACCCACCCCCCAACCACAACCCCCAATACCCACACCAACCACACCCCCCCACCCAACCCAACCAAACCACACAACCAAAAACCCACCCAAACCCCAACCACCCAAACACCCCCCCACACCCCCTCCCCCCACAACCCCCAAATATCACCCACCCACAACCACATCCTCCCCCATCATCCCCCACCCACACACACCCCACCCATTACCCTATCCCAACCACCTAAAAAAATCCTAACACACCCCTTATACCCATTACTTCTTTCTTACACTACCCATAAAATATTCTACATCTCCCACCCAACCCAACCCATAATTCACAAAACCACAACACCCCCCACCATAATCCCAATAAAACTATCTAATAAATTCCCCCACATATCACCCCCAACCTTTCCATTAAACCCCTCTTCAAACAAAACCCCCCCCCACTCCTCTCCCCCACAACAACCCCCCAACATATAATTTCCCAACCTCTCATTAAATCATCACCCTTATCCCCCCCTCACACAAACAATCCAATAAAACAAACACCCCCTAAACCACTCCCTATCAAACACATCAATAAATAAATCCCTCCAACACCTTCCCCATCTCCCCACAACACACATCCCTCTAACCCCATAACCACCTCCAATATAATCTACCCCCTACACAAACCATTACAAACCCCCCCCCCCTCATAATCTCATAATCATCCCCTATTAAAATTCCAACCCCCATCAACCCCCCCCCCCCAAAATATACCCCTTCACCCCCCCACCCCCTCAAAACAAACATCCCCACCACCAATCCCAAACCCCAAACTTAACTTCCCCCCACTTAAACACAACCACAATCCCTTAAACCCCTCCAACCCCCTAAAATCACACATCAACAAAATTCTCCAACATCAATAACACACCAAACCCTATCCAACAAACCACCCCCATCTATAACAACACAAAACAACCCCCCAACCCCCAAACACCCAAAAAACCAACCCAAAAAAACAATAACATCCTCACACACCAACCCCAATCACATCTAACCAACCAAAATTTACCCAAACACAAAAAAAACTAACCACACCCCAACCCACCCCAACAAATCCCCCCCCAAATCAAACCACCCACCCCCCCCCCCAACCCCCCACAAACACATCCACATACAACCACATCATCCCTCTCAATATCACACCCCCCCAACACACATATCCAACCCACAATAATCAACACACCACACCCCCATCCAAAACTAACCATACCTATTAATCCCTAACCTAATCCCATCACATCCTCCACACAAATACCCATCAACCCAAAAACCCCCCCCCACCCAACCCCCCCCCCCCCCCCCCCCCCCCCCCCCCCCCCCCCCCCCCCCCCCCCCCCCCCCCCCCCCCTCCCCCCCCCCCCCCCCCCCCCCCCCCCCCCCCCCCCCCCCCCCCCCCCCCCCTCCCCCCCCCCCCCCCCCCCCCCCCCCCCCCCCCCCCCCCCCCCCCCCCCCCCCCCCCCCCCCCCCCCCCCCCCCCCCCCCCCCCCCCCCCCCCCCCCCCCCCCCCCCCCCCCCCCCCCCCCACCCCCCCCCCCCCCCCCCCCCCCCCCCCCCCCCCCCCCCCCCCCCCCCCCCCCCCCCCCCCCCCCCCCCCCCCCCCCCCCCCCTCCCCCCCCCCCCCCCCCCCCCCCCCCACCCCCCACCCCCCCCCCCCCCCCCCCCCCACCCCTCCCCTAACCCCTCACCCTTAATCTCCACTCTCTTCCTCACATATATCATACACTAACCTTCCCTCCAACCCCCATACCCACCCACATATCATCCCCCCTCTTATATTTCACCTCTCTCCCCCCTCTAAAATCACCTTCCTATCCTCTTTTATCTCCAACCTCCACATAACCACCTCCCAACATATATATCATATAACCCCAACATATAACTCCCCAAACATTTCCCCTTCACCCTCCCACACCCCCAAATTCCAATTCACATTAAACTATCAACCCACTCCTACTATAACATCTACTAAATATCTCTCCCCTTTCAAACAATCCCTCTAAAACCCCCACCACCTCACTATCCCCATATATCATATCACAAACAATATAATATAACCCAACCTATCAAATATCAAACACTCCCACCATCAATCCTCCATATTCTATCCTTCACCCCCCACATAAATTAACAACCCCCCCATCAAATCATATAATCTTCAAAACACTCCCATCCCACATACCTCATTATCTATCCACTACCCTAACTCATCTTATTCCAAATAAACACAATCCCAAACCCCCACCACACAATACTCACTATAAATACAATACACACCAATACTAAATATCATCACAACCACAACCACATACATCCACCCATTATTACATCCCTAACCTACACAAACCCCCAACCACCAACCCAAACACCACCCCCAAACAACTAAAACACTTCCCTACACCACCAACCTATTCAAACCCCCCACCCAAAACCACCCAACTACACTTAATCCCACCAAACACACACCACCCATACCAAAACCCTCCACAAAAACCCAAACCCCAAAATAAAACAAACAAAAAAAAACAAACAACACCCCAAAAACAACAACCCACCCCACCCCACAACCCCCCCCCCAAACAACCCAAAAACACAAAACCCCCCCCCCCCCCCACCCCCACACAAACAAAAACCCAACCACCCCCAAAACCACCCCCCCAACTCCCCCACCCCCACCCCCCCCCCAACACCCCCCCCCCCCACAACACAACACCCCACACCCCCCCCCACCCCCCCCCACCCACCCCCCCCACCCCCCCCACCACCCCACCACACCCCTCACCCCCAACATCACCCCCCAAAACACCCCCCCACACCCCCCCCCCACACCCAACCCCCACCCACCACCCACAACCAAACCCCCCCAACACCCCAACCCCACCCAACACCCACACCCCCACCCACCACAACCCCCCCCCCCCCCACCCCCACCCCCCCCACCCCCCACCACCCCCACCCAACACCCACACACCCACAAACCAAACCAACACCACAAACCCACAACCCACCCCCCCCCCACCCACCCACCCCCAACAACACACCCCCACACCCCAACACAAAAACACCAAAACCCCAAACCCCCACCCCCCCACCCCACCACCAACCACACCCCACCCCCCCCCAACCCCCCCCCCCCCCACAACCCCAAACCCCACACCAACAACACAAACCCACAACCCACCCCCCACACCCACCCCCACACCAACACCCCCCCCCCCCCCCCCCCACCCCCACCCACCCCATCAACCCCCCCACAAAACACAACCCCCCACCCCCCAACCCCCCCCCCCCCCCCCCCAACCACCCCCCCAACAAACCCCCAACCCACCCCCCCCACCCCCCACCCACCCAAAACCCCCACACAAACCCCCCCCCCCCACCCCCCCCCCCCCCCCCACAACCACCACCACACACACACCCCCTAACCACCCACCAAAACAAATACCCCCAATCAACACACCACACCCACAAAAACATCCCCCCACAACAACCCACCCCAACACCAAACACCCAACCCCAAAACACACACACACACAACAACACCCCCCACCCCCCAACCACCAAACCACCCCCCCCCCCCCACCCCACACACCAAAAACACCACCCCCACACCCCACACACACAACCCAACCAACAACACCAAACCCCAAACCAAACCCACAACCACCAAACCAAAACCCCACACCCCCCCAAACCCCCCACCACAACCCCCACCCCCCCCCCCACCACAACAACCACCACAACCACAACCCCAAACCCAAAAAAACATACCCACAAAAACCCCACCCCCCCCCAAAAAACCACAACCCACAACCCCCCCCCAACACAACAACACACCCCCCCCCACACCCACCAAAACCCAAACCACCACCCAAACCCCCACAACAACAAACCATCCACCCCCTACATAACCCCACCCCCAACCACACAACCCACCCCAACACAAACCCCCAAACCCCAACCAACACAACCCCACAACCCAACCAACCAACACCACCCACCACACCCCCAACACAACCTACACCCCACCCACCCACCCCCCCAACACCCACCCAACCACCCCCCCCACACCCCACCACCACACCCCCACCCCCCCAACACAAACCCCCCACCACCCCCCCCCTACACCCCACAACCCAAACAACAACAACCACCACCACACCAAACCACAACCCACCCCACACAACAACCCCAACCCCAACACCCAAACCCCCCAACCCCCCCAAACAAAAAAACACCCAACAACCCACCACACACACCCACACCACCAAAACAAAACCCCAACACCCACAACCCACAACCAAACACCCCACCCCCCCCCCACCCAACAAACCAAACCCACCATCCCAACCACACAACACACAAACCCACACACACACCCCACACAACCCACAAACCCCCCCACCCCAACACAACACCAACCACCACAACCCAAACCCCCCCAACCCACCACCTCCCCAACCCACAACCCACCCCCCACCCCAAACCACCCCACCACCCCCCACCCCCCCCCCCCCCCCCCACACCCCCCCACCCCCCCCCACCCAAACAACACCCAACCCACCCCCCCCCCCCCCCCCCCCCAACCCCCACCCCCACACCACAAAACCCCCCCCCCCCCCCCCACCCACCCATCCCACCCAACCCAACAACACCCCCCCCACCCACCACCCACCACAAACACCCACCCCACAAACCCACAACCCCCCCCCCACACCCACACCCCCCAAACCCCCTAACACACACCCCCAACCAAACACACCACACCCCCAACCCCAACCCCCCCCCCCACCCCCCACCAACCACCCACCCAACCCCTACCCACATACAACACTCTCAAAACACCCAACTAAAACCATAAACCAACCCCCCCAATACAACCCCCACCCCATCTACAAACAACTAACTCATTACCTCCACCCTCCATCCATAACCATATAAAACTACAACAACCCCCAAAACAAATCCCCTCACAAAAATCCTAACATTAAAACAACCCAACCACCTCCCCTCAAATTCACATAACACTTAACACAACATATCACTACACCCATAACTACCAAACATACATCACACACTAACACTCCACAACAACCAACACCAAAACACCCACAAACCAACCACCCCCCCCCAACCCCCAACACCCCCCACCACACAACCCCCCCCCCCACCCCCCCACCCAACCCAACCCCCACCCACCCCACACCACCCACCCACCACCCAACACACCCACAACAAACCACCCCCACACAAACACACCCCAAAAACCCACACCCCCCCCCACCCCCAAACCCCATCCCCCTACTCCCCACCTACCACTAAACCACCAAACACACCCCACCCCCCCCCACCAACCCCCCCAACCCACCCACAAACCCAAAACCACCCACACCCCCCAAACCACAACACACACCTCCCCCCCCCACACCCCAATACACCACCCACACACCCCACCCACCATCAACACCCCCCAAAACCACACCCCAACCAACCACAAACAACCCATCAAAAAAAAAAACCAAACACACACCCCAACATAATCTAACACACCCACACCTAAACCAAACAACAAAAACCACACCCATCAAACAACAACCCCATACACCCCCCAAAACCCCCCACCACCCCCCACCACACACCACACCCCCCCCCCCCCAACCCACCCCAAAAACCCCCAACCCCACACACAACCCCAAACCACACCCACCCAACACCCCCACCCACAAAACACACCAACAACACAAAACACCCCCAACACACCCCCCCCACCCCCCACAACCCCCACACACCCCACAAAAAACCACCCCCCCCTCCCAACACCAAACCCCCCCACCAAAACCCCCAAAAAAACCCATCACCCACCCCCAACCCACCCAACCCCACCCAAAACCCAACAAAACAACCCACCCACCCACCCCCCCCCCCACCCAACCCCCAACAAACCACACCCCACACCCCACCCCCAAAACCAACCCAACCCCACACCCCAAACCCCCCCCCCAAAACACCCCCCCCAACACAACCAACCACCCCCCAACCCCCCCAACCACAAACCCACAACAACACAACCCACACCCCCCAACCCAACACACAACACCACCCCCCCCCCTACCTCTAAACCCCCAACAAAAAACAACAAACCAACAAAAAACAACAACATCATCCAACAAACCAACACCAACCCCCCCCCCCACCACCCACCCCCATCCCACCCAACCCATCACATACACAACCCCAAACCTACAAACACCACCAAAAAAACATACTCCCCTCAAAACACCACACAACCCCCATCCCACAAACAACCCCAAACCCCCCCCCCCCAACAAACAACCCCAACAAACCCCCACCCCAACACAACACAACTCCCACAACCAACCCCCCCCCACCCAACCAACCCCACCTCCCCCAAATCAAATCCCCCCCCCCCACCCCCCCCACACCCCCCCAAACACCCACAACCCCCAATAACCCCCAACCCACACCCCTACCCCCCCCCCAACCACCCCCCCCCCAAACCAACAAACCAACCCCCACATAATCCCCCTCCAAATCATACACCCATTCTCCTAACACACCTCTCCCTCCCCCTCACACATCCACAAATCCCACCCCTTTATTATACATTACTCCTCCCCTAAAAAAACCCTCCCCTAAAACAACCCCTCAAACCACATCAACCCCAATTTTACCATACCCAACAATTATCATCCATCTCCCAAACTAAATCCTTTCACCACCCCCCCTTCAATCCTACACACTACTATACACCCCCACACCCCCCAACTCCCCCAAATAAATTCACCCAAAAATACAATCCCCCCAAACCCCCCCAAAAACAACACATTAAACAACATTATACACCCTCCCCATCAATCCCCCTTCCCTCCTCCAACCACCCACAATCCAACTCAAACCCCCCTACACCATCCCACTCAACATCAAATCAACATATCCCATCATCTATTAATCCCACCCATCAATCCACACCCACACCATATAATATCCCACCAATCCCCCCAATCACCCAACACTAAAACCCCCCACTTCTCAAAAATACTCCCCCCCTATCCCTACTACCCCCCCCACCCTAAACATCATCCACCCCCTCTCCCTCTCCTATCACCTCATAATTTTCCCCACACAACCCCCCCAAAAACATCTCCTCAACCATCAAAAATCAAACCCCTCCACCCTCATACAACCACCACATAACCCCAAAATCCCCCAAATCCCTTTCAAACACCCTCCACCTACACAATCCCAAACCCCACCCATCAAAATTAATCACCCCCCAATTTCTCTCCCCTCCTTCCACCCCATCACATATCCACAAACTAAACATCCCATTTCTCATAAACATAATTAACCCCATATATCCCCCCCCACAACTACAATAAATTTCCCCTAAATACATATAAACTACCCTCTTCCTCAACCCCCACTCCCTACATCCTAAACCCCCACTCCAAAAAAATATCCCATCACCTACACATACCCCTCCCCCACACACATTCCCAAACCTCTTAAATAACCAAACCCAATACCTACATAACAACCTCCACCCACTTCCACAATCCCCTAAAACTTTTTCAAAACCATAAACAACCACCCCTCATTTCCAATATATAAATAACACAATCCCACCACACCCCATAAATCTATAACTTATCCAAACAATTATCAACCAATCTCCAACAACCCCATAATACAAAACATAATTCCAAATCTAACCCACCAATATCTCACACCCCATCAATCTCCAAACCCCTCACAACCAACCCCCCCCCACACAACAACACCCCAAACAACAAACCCCAACACACTACCACACCAAACCACATACTTACACCCAAAACCATACCTCCCCAACACCCCCCCCCCTCCCCTCCCCTCCATACCCCTCCTACCCCACCAAAACCAAACACACACCCCCCCTAATCTACACAATACCCATCTTATCCAACAAATTACTATATAAAATCCCACATCCCACCCCCACCTACTATTTTTACTTAATTCCTTTATTACTCTCCTATCACCCCTACTCCACCTATACAATAACCACACACCCTCACCAATCCCTCACCTAAAAACAACAATCACCCCAATCCCCATCCCCCCCCCATCCCACAACCCATCCCATCCACACCCTATACAATCCATACACATCCAACATACATAACATTTTATTCCTACACCCCTAAAACACAAACACCCCACCCAAATCTCATCTCAACTACCCACCACAATCCAATATCCACTACCCCCCCATTATCCCACTTTACCCACAAAACACCAATCCATATAAATACACACCATACTCCCTACTTCCACCATCCTCCTTCCATACAACCACCCCATCACCTCCCTCCCAACCCACACTTCCCCTCCAAACCCCCACCTCTACCAAAATATAATCTAACCTACATCATCCCCCCATTCCCATCAACATACATCACCTCCTCACTCCCCAAATCATCTATCCATATTAAACACCAATCCACTCTCAAATAAACATAAAACAAAAACACAAATACAAAAACCATATTAAAACATACATACAAAATACATATCCCCCATTATCCAAAATACCATACAACCACATATTATAAAAACATCCCCATTCCCCACCCATAAATCCAATCCATCTCTCCCCAATTTTACCAATCCCCTCAACTAACTTCCCTATTTCCCTATTCCCTCCTCCAATTTACTACCAATACCATTCCTTACTATATCTCCCCCCCCCCATACAACCCCAACATTCCCTCAATAATCCCTCTTAAATAACCACCAACCCACATATACACACCCCTAACAACAACCCCTCATCCACCCATCAAACTAACAAAAAAAAAAAAAAAAAAATACAACCAACTTCCCATCACACCATACCATACTATCCATTTCAAACCTACCAAATTCTCCCCCCTCTACTCTCCTCAAATATCATTCCATCCAACACAAAACTCACTCTAAAATCATCCCCTTCCTCTCCTAATATTATAACTCTACTCCTCAATATCCCCCACCCCTCTCCCCACTCCCCCCCAACTATCTCCACACCCTTTCTAACTCCCTACCTCATCTAAATCCCCCCCCCTCCTCTTCTCACCCCATACCCAAAACTACAACTACACCTTTAACATAACCCCCTCTCTCCCTCCCACCCCATCCCTCCACCCCAACACCTCTCAACCCTTAAACATTAAACACATTACCCTCCCACCCCCACCTATCCCCACCCACACCATACAACACCACAATTTATCCTTCCACTCACTAACCCCACAATATATATTTTTTTCTCACTCCAATATTTATCTTTTCTTTTTCTCCTCCCTCACTCTTCCTCTCTACCTCTTCAACCCCCCACCCCCCTACCCTAACTTCCTCCCAAACCTTCCATCTCCCTCCAATACCCCACTCCACCCCCCCTATTATCATCTTCCAACTCCCACAACCCAAACAACTACATTCCTCAAACTCCTACAATAAACATCTCACATACATAACCCTATTTCCTCCCTACAATTTTCCCCCCTCTCAATACATCCAATAAACCTTACTCCCTATTAACAAATCCCTCTAACCACATCTATCATCCCATCCATTCCTACCCCCACCCATCCCAACCCCCACAAAACCACTCTACAACCCACATCCCCCCCCCACATTCATACACAACCCACCCATTACACCCCCCAACCTTAAACACAATTAACCCCCAAATTCCCCATCCATTCACCTCCTTTCCCACCCAATTAAAACCAATCCCATACAACAACAACAAAACCATCATATACCCCCCCAACCCCCTAACCAAACAAAAACCATCCAAACCCCTCAATAACAAACAAAACACACCAACACCCCCCACCAACCCCCCACCCACCCCAACCCCCCCCATACACACACCAAACCCCCACCACCCCCCCACAAACACCCAACAAAAACCTCCAACCCATCACACACCCCCCCAACCCAACCCCCAAAACCCCCCAAAACCCACCCAACAACCCACCCCCCCCCCCCATCACCACCCAACAAACACACCACCTACAACCCCCAACCACCACAATAACACCACCAACTCATCACCACCCCCCAAAACTACATCAAACCCCAAACACACACTCCCCCACACCACTAACAAAAAACCCACACCTACACCCACATCCCACACCATAAAATAACACACCAACATCTTAATCATATCCCTCCCCAACTCCCCAACCCACCATACAAACTCCACAACCACCACCCCTCCCCCCCACAACCCTCATTCAACAATACCCCCACCCCCACCAACATTCCCTCCTTCAACCTATCACACCAACTTCCACATCCAACACCAACTATCCCTCCCCAATCATCCACCCCCAACCATAACTCTCCTATCTCCCATACAAACCACCCATATCCACTTTATATACCATATATTCATCCTTTAAAATCTTCAATCACCATCTCCTCTCCAAAAATACAAACCCACCCCCCCAACCCCATTTAACACAAAACCATTATCACCCCACCATTCTAACAATCACCCACATCACCAAACCAATATTCTTTCAAAACCCCATCCAACCAAACCACCTCTTCCCACAACACCCACACACAAAATATTCTTAAAATCCCCCCCTATCCCTTCCACCTCCTCCTACCCCCTACCACACACCTCCCCAATAAAACTTACCCACATTTACCATACATCCACATCCTCCTTATCACCACACCACCATTAATCCCCTTCTCTCTTTAACACTCTTACCCCACCCCCCTCATACATACTCTCCAAACTTTCTCACAAAACCATCATCATACCTAAACAATTAACCAACAACACCAACAAAACCCATAACAAAAAAAAAAAAAAAAAACATCAAAACATCAATACAAACCAACTACCCTACACACAAACAACCACATCCCAATCCCCACCCCAAATCACAAACCCCACTTTCAATTACCCCACCCATCCAAACTTCCCACCACTTCCAAAAATCCCCCATATCCCCATAACCCCAATCCCACTCCATCCTTACAATATTCTAAACTCAACCCACACCCTCCCTACATACCCCTCAAAACACACACTACAATTTTTCCCCCCAACCCCCCCCACCAACCCCAAACCAAATCTCTTCCCTCACCCCCCCAAAAACCTTCCCCCAAACCATCCCCTATCAAACCAATCCCAATACCCCTCTTTCCCCACCCACACTCAAAACAAAAATCACACATCCCCTTACACCAACCCCCCCAAACCCCAATCCCTAAACCCCAAACAACCAACCCCCCCACCCCCCCCCAACTACCTAAACATATTCCATAACCCTTCATTCCATCAACAATTACACCACCCAACCCCCCTCTCCCCTAATACCCCTCCACCAAAAAAAACACCACCCATCACACACACAAACAAAACAATCACAATATTCACAAACAAAAACTACAACACCACATCACCCCCCACCACTTTTCCCCAAAACCCCCCCCATATTCCTCCCAACACACAACCCAAACCACCCCACCAACTTAATAAAAAAAATCTCTCTCACCCACAACCTATAACAACAAAACTTCAACATAACATAACACTTCACTCATCCCCATCTCTCCACCCCTCTTTCCCCCACTCCTCTCCTCTCCTTATCACTCCAAACAATCTTCCTTTCTCTTCCCTTTCTTTCACTACATTTCCTCTATCAATAAACTCCAATCTCATCCCCTCTCTCACTTCTTCTTAATATCCCATACCTCCACCCCTTCTCAACCATATTACAACATACTCCACCCTAATCCATCCCTAACTCCCTAATAATCCTCACTTCATTTCTCACACTCCCCATCACCCCACACTCAAAACAAAACATTCAATTCCCCACACCCAAATCCACTCAAAACAACCTAAATCCCACCCCACATAAACTCACAAACTCACCACAACCTAAACAAACAAAAAAAACATATAAACCCCCCACCTACAACACCCCTAAAACCTCTATATCATCACATCCCTATTCCCACCCAAACACAATCAAACCCCAAACCCCAAAAACCAAAACCCTTAACCAATCCACCCAATAAAACAATCCCTCCAATAATCCTCACACCCATAAACAACCCAAACCACATCCTCCCACATCACCCAAACCACAATCTCCACCCCACCACCCACCACCCCCTTCCCCCTCCCCCCTCCCCCCCAAACCACCAACACTCCATACCCCTTCCCCATCCCCTCCTCCTTTACCCACACACCACCCTATCAATACCCTAATATTCAACTCCCATCACACCTCACAACATATACTCCCTTCATTAAAATCATCACCACCCTACACTACCATTCATACCTCCCTTCCCCCACTTACTAATTCTACACATTCCCTACATAACACCCCTCTACCAAATTCTATATCTACTATCCATCCATAAAACCCCCCACCCCCCCCCACTCACAACCCCAACAATCAAACAAATCACAAAACAAACCCCAACCACCCCATACCCTACACTCATACTCCTCACCTCCCTTCTATACACCCACCACCCACCAAAAACCCCAACAAACACATCCCTCCCCCTAATACCCATAAACCTCAACCACCCCAACCCAAACACCCCTTAAACACCCCAACAAAACACCCCAAACACCCCAACAAAAACACCAACCAACAATAACATCCAACACCCACCACAACACCAACACACCAAACCACAACAACCCACCACATATACTATCATAAAACCCACACCCCACACACCACCAAACAAAAACACACAAACAACAACCACACAACCACAAACAACACCACACCCCCCCCACCACACACACCCCCCCCCCCCAACAACAAACACAACAACCAAACCAACACCAAACCCCCACCCAACATACACAAACCAAAACAACCACAACCCCCCCCCCCCACCAACCCACCCCCCCACCCACCCCTACCCCCACAACCCCACCCACCACCCCCACACCCAAACACCCACCACCCCCCCCCCCACAACCCCCCCCCCCACCCACAACCCAACACCCCCCCACACCCCCACCCCACCCAACCCACCCCCCCCCCCCCCACACCCCACCCCCCCCCCCCCCCCCCCACCACAACAACCACCCCCCCCCCCCAACCCCCCACACCACAAACACACCCCACCCCCCCTCCACCCCCCCCCCCCCCCCACCCCCCCCCCCCCACACCCCCACCCCACACACCCTCCACACACCCCACCCCCCACCCCCCACACACCCCCCCCCACCACACACAAAAACCACCAAAACAAAAAACACACAAACCCCACCCAACCCAACACCACCCCCCACCCACACCACCCACAACCCAACACCCCCCAACCACACACCCAAACCACCCCCCAAACACCCCACAAACACAAACACCACCCCCCCCCCCCCCCCACAACCCCCCCCACCAACCCACAAACCCAACCCCCCCAACCCCACAACCCACCCCCCCCACCCACCCACCCTCACCCACCCCCACAACCCACCCCCCAACCCCCCACACACCACCACAAACACCCCCACCCCCAACCCCCAACAAAAACACCAACCATCTATCACCAAAAACCACACCCCACACCCCCCACCCACCCCCCCACACCCACCCCCCCCAACACACACCACACACACACCACCCACAACCCCACCCAAATCACCAACACCACAAACAACAAAAAACCCCCACCACCCCACAAACCCACAAAACAACAAAACCCCCCCCAACCAACACCACACTCCAACAAATCACCACACACCACCCCCAACACACCAACCACCACACCCAACCCCACACCAACACCCCCCACCACAAAAACCACAACAAACACACACACCCCCACACACCCCCCCCCCCCACCCCCCCCCAACCCACCCACCCCCACCCATCACCCCCACACACACCAAACCCCCACACCCCCCACCACCCAAATACACACACACACCCACCACACCCCCCCACAAAAAACACCCCCACCCCCCCACACCCCCACACACACCAACACACCCCCCCCCCCCCCCAAACCCCCACCACCACCAAAAACAACCATAAACCAAAACACCCCCCCAAACACCCCCCACCCCCCCCCCCACACCACCCACCCAAACCCACCAAAAACCCAACCCCCCACACACACAACCACAACACCCCTCAACACCACCACAACTACCCCCCACCACAACCCCCCACACCCCCACCCCACAAACACCCCCCCACCCCCCCCCCACCCCACCCCCCACACCCCCCCACCCCCACCCCCCCCCACCACACCACCACCCCCAACCCCCCCACCCCACCCCCCACACACCCCCCACACCCCCCCCAACACAATCCACATACCCAACCAACCCCCCCAACACACAAACCCCAAAAACACTCTTCACAACCAAACCCACCACCACCCACCCAACCCACAACAAACTCATACCACAAAAACCCCCACCCCCCCCAACCAAACAACCCAACCCCCCCACAACCCCAAAAAACACACCACCCAACCCACAACCCACCCCCCCCCATACCCACCCCCAACACAAACCACCACCCCCCCCTACACCCTCCCCCCCACCCCACCCCACAACCACCCAACCCAACCCCACAACACAACCAAACCCTACACCAAACCAACAAAAAACCAAACCCCACTACTATCACCAACCACACCCCCAAACACCCACCCACTCCAAACCCCCACAACCCCCATACTCCACATCAAACCAACTCACCTCCATCACCCCCCCACCCCCCACCCACCCTACATATCATTTACCAACTCCCCTATACCCCCACCCCCTCACAACATACCCTACACCCAAATAACACCCCCCAACCCAACATAAAATTACACACAAATCCCAAATCAAATTAACAATACATAATAATTTAAAAAACATCCAAATCCAAACACTCCCCACCTATCCCTCCCTCCCCATCCCCACCCCCCCCCCATCCCACCCTATATCTAATACTACCCCCCATTAACCACATCTTCACCAACATAAATATATCCCCACCCCACTCAAACCCCACAACCAACCACCAACCCAACCCACCCACCCCCCCCCAAATCCACTAATCAACCAAACCCCCCCCCCTCACCCCCACCACCATACCCCATACACAACAAACCCACAACCCCCCCATCTACACCACCACAATCACACCACACCCTACCCACCACCCAACTCCTCACACCAAAAAAAACACCCACCCCCCACCCCACCCACCACCCCACCCCACCATACCAACCTAATCTTACCCCATAATACATAACCCACAAACCACATAACCCCCCCCAACCACAAAAACCCACCAAACCTACACCCAACCAAAACCCAAAAACACATCACCCCCCCACCCCCCTTATTATCAACCCCCCCCACAACTCACTCTAAAATAACCCCCCACCCAAACCCACAACCCCAACACAACCCCCCCACCACTCCCCCCCAAACCTACCCAACCAAAACAAATCCAAAAAACTCCTTACCCCCAAACAAAAACCACTACCCAATTACTATCATACTTCTCCCACCAAACCCAACTACCCCAAATTCCCACCAACAACCCCCCCATCACTAACATAACCACCCCCCAACCAATCCACTCAACCCACCCCCATAAATAAAACCTCCCCAATACCCCCAATACTACCCCTACACAAAATATCATACCCACCAACACCCCAAACAAAAAACACCAATCAAAAAAACCCCCCAACCCACCAAACACCCCACCCAAACACCAATAACCCACCAATACCCCCCACCACCCAACACCACCACCCAACACACCCCCACACAACACCCCACACCCCCCATCCACCCACACCAACCCCACCTCCACCCCCCACCCCAAACCAATTAACCAATAATAACCCCCACCCCAAATACACCCCCCACCACTACCCACTCCCCATAAATTATATCCCCCCCCCCTCCCCCATCTCATACCATAATACCACCACCCCATACACCCCCATAAACCCCACCCAAAAACACCCCAAACACACCTCACATTCAACACAAAAAAACATCTAACATACCCACCCTATACCCACACCTAATCCAAACCCTTATTCCCCCCCAAAACCAACTCTCCCTCAAATCTCCCATTCATATCCTCCCCCCATTTATCACCCATCTCCCCATCTATACCCATTCATCACCCACACTATACAAATTCTACCCACCTCCATACCAAAACTCCCCCCCAAATTCCTTTTTTTACAAACCCTAAATAAAAAACCCCAACCCCCCTACCCTATCCACAAAACCCTACCATATCATACTAACACACCCTACAAAAAACCCACAATACCACCCCCAAAAAAACCACCACAAATACAACACTAAACTAAAACAAACAACAACACACAAAAACCAAAAACCCCAAAACAACACAACCCACCAACCCCACACCCAAAACCCAACCCCCAAACCCCCAACCCACACCCCCCCCCCACCCCCCCCAACCCAACACCCCACCCCACCCCCCCCCCAAACCATAAAAAACCCCCCCCCCCCACCCCACAACCACCCCCACCCCCCCCCCACACCCAACCACCCCACCCCACACACCCACCCCACCACCCACCATACCCCCAACCAACAAAACACCCCCACCCACCCCCCCCACACCCCCCCCCCAAAACACCCCCACCCCCAACACTACAACAACCCACTCAACCCCCACCCACAAACACCCCCCACCCACAACCCACAACCCCCCACCACCAAACCCTACCACCCACCAAAACCCCCAAAACAACAAATCAAACCACAACCAAACAAATAAACTCATTCCCAAACCCACCCCAACCCTTAATACCCAAAACCCACAACACCCCCCACTTTAATTAAACATAAAACTATCTAATAACATACCCACCAATCACCCCCCCCCCCACCTTACCCCAATTACAAACTCCTTAAACCTACAACCCAACCCCCACACCAACCCACACAACCCACATCTAAATTTCACAACCACTCATTAAATCATCCAACCCTTATCCCCCCCCTCACACCACATCCATTAAACACACTAAACATAAACCTCCTCCATCAACCACACATCCAATAACATAAATCCCTCCAATCCCCTTCCCCATCCTCCCCCACCCACCAACATCCCCCTCTTACCCCCATAACCACCCTCCCCTATTAATATACCCCCTCCACCACAAACCTTTAAATAATTAAAATCATCCAACCAACCCACTTAAATCACCCAAATCACCCCACCCCCACACAACATACCCCTTCACCACCCACCCCCTCTATACAACAACCCCACCCCCCCACAATACTAACCCCATCCTTACCTCCCCCACCTTTAACATCACCCACAATTCCCATACCAATACCATGCAACCCTAAAATCCACCACCATAAAAATTCTACATCACATAAACCCACCAAACCCTATCCCAAACAACACCCATCCCTCTACAAAAACACCCCAACCCCAATACAAACAAAAAACCCCAACCAACAAACCCAAAACATCTAACACCACAACTATCACCCATCTACAACCAAAATTACCATACTCCCATAAAAACCTAACCTAACCATCCCTCCCCAAAATACACCCCACCATCATACCACCCTCCCACCCCCCCTCCCCCCCCCAATAACACATCCTCTTTCATCACTCTCTAATCCTCAACAATAAACCCCCACAAACCAAAACACCCACCAAACACAACACCACACACCCCAACCCACAAAAAAACCAAAAAATCCCACTACACTAACCCAACATCCCCTCAAAAAACCACACCAACAAAACCACCCCCCCCCCACAAACCTAATACCCCACACCCCCCACCACACCCCCACACATCAAACAACCCCACCCAACCACCCACCCAACCACCCAACACCAACCACTAAAAATAAACACCTTACCACCCACCAAACTCCCTATATCCCCACCTATTATCATCCACTCCACTACCCCCCACCCCCACACCTATCTATCATATAACACAAACATATAACCATCCCTACATTTCCCCCTACCTCCACACCCTCCAAATTACAATACCCATCAACCAAACACAACCCACACAACTCAAACATCAACATATTTCTCTCCCCAAAAACACCACCCAAAAAACCCCCCACCCAAACCCCAAATCCACAACACACCAATAAACTCAACCCCAACCAATCAACTATCAAAACTCCACCCATCAAACCCATCCCACAAATCTATCTTTCCCCACCAACCATCCAAACACCCCCCCATACAAAACCTATATAACACTACAAAACACTCCATCACTATCACTTATCAATTACACACCCTAACTCAACATCTTAAAACAACACAATCAAACCCCCCCCCACACATACTCCAACTAAACAATCCACAACAACCAACCAACACACATCACACCCACACCAATACCATCCACCCCACATCCCCAATCAAACCTACCAACAACCAACAACCAACCCCAACACAAACCCTATAACAACCAACCACACACCACACCACCAACAAAAAAAAACCCAACCCACAAAACACATAATCCTCTATACACACCCAACACAACCATCCACCTAACATATAAACCCACAAAAACCAATCCACAAAAAAACACCCACAAAACACTAAAAACAACCACCATAACAAACCCCCACCCCCTCCCCCCCAAACCCCCCAACACCCACACCAACCCAACCCCCCCCCCCCCCACCCCAACCCACACCACAAACACACCCCACAAACCCCCCCCCCACCCCCCCACCCACACCCCCCCCCCCCCCCCACCACAAACCCCCCCACACCCCCCCCCCCCACCCCCCCCCCCACCCCACCCCCCACCCCCCCCCACCCCCCCCACCCACCCCACACCACCCCCACCAACCCCCACCACACAACCCCCAAACCCCCCAACACACCCCCCACCACCCCCAACCCCACCCAAACCAACCACTACCAAAACCCACCACCCAACCCCCCACCCACCACCCACCCAAACCCCCCCACCACCCACACCCCCCCCCCCCCCACCCCACCCCCCCACCCCCACCCACCCCACCCCCAACCCCCCACACCCACAACAACCAACACCACAACACCACAACCCCACCCACCCCCCACCCACCCACCCCCACAAACCACCCACCCACCCCCAACACCAAACACACCAAAACCCCCCCAAACCCCCCCACCCCCCCCCCCAACCACCAACCAACACCCCACACCCCCACCCCCCCCCCCACACCACCCCCAACCCCACAACCCACACAACACACCACCCACAACCACCCCAACACCCACCAACACCCAAACCACCCCCCCCCCCCCCCCCCACCCCCCCCACCCCCCACACACAACCCCCACCCCCCCACACACAACACCCAACCCCCCAACACCCCCCCCCCCCCCCCCAACACCACCCCCCAACCACCCCCAACCCACCCCCCCCCCCCCACCCCCCCCACCCCCCACACCACCCCCCCCCCCCCCAACCCCCACCCCCCCCCACCCACACCACCACCACAACACCCCCACCACCACCCCCCCCAACAACCCCCACCACACACCCACCCCCCCACAACCCCCACCCCCCCCACACAACCCCCCCACCCCACCACCCACAAACCACCACAAACACACAACAACACCCCCACCCCCCCACCCCAAAACCACCCCCCCCCCCCACCCCACACACCCCAAAACACCCACCCCCCACCCCCACCCCACAACCCACACACAACACCAAACCCCCCCAAACCCAACCCCACCACACCCACCAACCCCCTCACCACACCCCCCACCACCCAACCCCCCACACAACCCACCCCCCCCCCCCCCACACAACCCAACACACAAATAACCACCATAAAACCACTAAAACAAACCAACACAAACACCCCCCCCCCCCACACCAACCACAAACCCCCCCCCAACCAAAACACACCCCCCCCCCACCAAACCACAACACCCACACCCCCACCAACCCCCCCACCACCCACAAACCACCCCCACCAAACAAACAACCACCATACACCACCCAAAATCTACCACAAACCACCCACCCCAAACACAACCAAACAAAAACAACAAAAACCCAAACAACACACACCTCAACCCCCACCCACACAACACCCCAACCACCCCCCCCCCCCACCAACCACAACACCACACCTACCCACCCCCCCCCCCCCCCCCCCCCCCCCCACCCCCCACCCAAAACCACACCACCCCCCAACCCACTACCCCCCCCAAACACCCCACCCCCCCACCACCCACACCCAACCTCCAACACCAACACCAAACACAACACCAACACCCCCCCCCCACACCCCAACACCCCAAACCCCCAAAACCCCCCACAACCCCAAAAACAAAACACCCCACCAAACCCAACCCACACCCCACCTACCACAACCAAATCCCAACACAACAACCCCCAAACAAACACCCCACCCCCCCCCACCAACAACCCCAAACCCACCCCAACCCCAACACAACAACACAACACCCCCCCCACCACACCACCCCCACACCCCACAAACCCCCCCCCCAACACAACCACCCCCCCAACCCCACACCAAACCCAACCCACCACCCACCCCACCAACCAAACCCCCAACCAACCCCAATACACCCCCACAACCCCAACCCCCCCCCCCCCCCCCACCACCCCACCCACCCCCAACACCCAACAACACCCAACCACCCCCCCCCCCCACACCCACACACCAACCCCTCACACAAACAACCCCACCCCCCCACCCCCCCCTACCCACAAATAAACCTCACCAACCCCACAAAAAACACAACAACAAAATACCCACAACAAACACCACCCCCACCATCTCAACCCCCCCATCAATCCCCCCACCCAAAACCCAACTAACAATAAAACCCCTCCAAACTACCCACCACAACAACCCCCCCCAACCACACCCCACCCACAAACCCCACCCCCTCCCAACCACCCACACACCCACACAAAACACCCCCAAAACAAACAAACCCCCACCCCCCACCATAACAACCCCACCCCCCCTTCAACATATAACACCCCCACTACTCCAACACCCCAATTCCCTTAAACCCCCCATCATAATATTACACAACATCCCCCCCACAACACATTTCCCCCCCCCCCACAAAATCTCTCCATTCAAACCTACCCCACACCCACCTCCCCACCTAATCACATCATTCTATTTAACTCTTCCTTCTATTAACCATTACTTAAATAAATAAATCACAACACTAACACACCACACACACCACACAACATTCACACCAATTCATCCCACAAACCCCCACCCCCATATCCACCCATACCCAAAACATCAATACAACCCCCACAAACCACCACCCCACACCCCCCAACACCCAACACCCACACAACACACACCCACATCCCCCCACCAAAAAAACAAAAAACCAACCACACAACCCCCCACAACACACCCCCACAACAAACCACACCCAACCCCAACCCCCCCCACCCCCAAACCCCCCCACCCACACCCCACCCATACCCACCACCCCCCACCCCCCCCCCCCCCCCCCACCCCCCTCCCCCCCCCACCACCCCACCACACCCCCCACAACCACAACACTAACCACACCCCCCAAAATCCAACATACACCCACCCACACCCCCCCACACTCAACACCCCCAAAACCCCCCCCCACCCCCCCAACCACCCCCACAATACAACCACCAACAATAACCACCCACATCTTAAACTCCACCCACTCCCACCTAAACACAAAAACACAAAACCCTCCTCCCACCCCCCAACCCCCCCCCCCACCCCCCCCCCCCCCCCCCCAAACCCACCCCCCACTACCCCCACCCCCCCCACCCCACCCCACCAAACCCACCCCACACACAAACCCACACACCACCCAACCACCCCCACACCACAAACACCACCAACAACAACACACACCAACCACACCCCCCCACCCACAACCCAACACACACCACACACCCACCCCCAACCCCACCCCACCCAAAAACACCCCACTAATAACACAAACCCACCCCCCACCAACACACCCCCCACCCCAAAAACCCCCTACAATACACCCCCCCCAAAACACCCCCCCCCCCCCCACCCCACCAACAAAACCCCACAACACCCCCAAACCAAACCAAACCAAACCCCAATCACACACCCCCCCCCACACCCCCCCACCCCCCCCACCCACCACCCCCCCCCCCCCCCCCACCCCCCCAAAAAAACACACACCACCACCAACCCAAACCCACCCCACCCACCACAAACCCCCCCAACCACCCCCCCCACCCACCCCCAACCCAACCCAACCACCCCACCCAAACCAACCCCCCCCCCCCCCCCCCACCCCACCCACCCACAACCCAAACCCCCCACACAACCCCCCCAACCCACACAACCACACCCCACCCCCCCCCACCCAACCAACCCCACCCCCCCCACACCCCCCCAAACCCAAACCCCACACCACCCCCCCAACACCACCACAAAACCCACACCCCACCCCAAACCAACCACCCCACCACCCCCAACACCCCACCCCCCCACCCCCCCCACCCCCCCCCCCCCACACACCCACCCCCCACCACACCCCCACCCAACCCCCCCAACCCCCCCCCCAACACCCCCCCCCCAACACACAACCCACCCCCACACCACCCACCCCACAACCCCCCACACACCCACCCCCAACCCCCACCCACACACCCACAACCCACCCAACTAACACCCAAAACACACTCCCCCCCCACACACCACCCCAACCCCACCCCCCCCAAACCACCCCACAAAAAACCACACCCCACCACACCACCACCCCCCCCCCCCAAAACCACACCAACAAAACACCCACAAACCCCCAAACCATCCCCCCCAACCAAACACCCACAACAATCACCAACCCCCAAACCCCCCCCAAAAAAACAACTAACCCACAAAAAACACCACCCCCCAACACCCCAACCCCACCCACCACCCCCCCCAAACCACATCACCACACCACCTAACCCACAACACAAACAAAACAAACACCTCACCCACCACAAACCAACACCAACAAACACACCCACACTAAATCCCACCACAAACCCCCACACTAACCCCCCCCAACCACACAAAACACCCCCCCACTCTACTACCCCCCCCCCTAACACCATCATCCCACCCCCCTCTCCCTCTCCAATCCACTCATAATTTTCCCCAAACACCCCCAAACACCACATCACCCCACCAACATAAACCCCTCCCACCCTCCTAAAACACCAACATAAACCCCCATAATCCCAAAATCCCATTCAAACAACCCTCACCTAACCATCACTAACCCCACCCTAAAAACCTTATCCCCCCAAAAACTACTTCCCAACACAACCCCACAAAAAATACCAAAAAAACCACCAAAAATAAACACACAAAACATAATCCCCCACAAAACACAAACCCAACCCAACAAACAACACACCAACCACAACCACCCCCCCCCACACCACCAACCACCCCCCCCACCACCCCACACACCCACACAAACCCCCACCCCCCCCAACCCCCCCACACAACCCACACCCACCCCACAACCACCCCCACCCCCCCCACCACCAACCCAACCCACCCCCACACCCCACACCCCCCCCCCCCACCACCAACCCCCACAAACCCAACACCCCACCCCCCCCCACCCCACACAAACAAACCACCCAAACACCCCCAAACCCACCCCCACACCCACCCCACCAACCCACACCCCCACCCCAAACACACCCACAAACACCCCCCCCACCCCCCCACCCCCCCACAACCCACCCCAACAACACACCCAACCCACACCCCCCCCCCCCAACAAACACCCCCACACCACCACCCAACCCCCCCCACCCCCACCACCCCACCCCACCACCCACCCCCCCCCCCCCCCCCCCCACACAAAACCACCCACAAAACCCCAACCAACCACACAACAATACACACCCACACCACACAAAACCAAAAAAAAAAAAACCACAAATACACCACCACCCCAACAACAACCCCACCCAAACCCCAACCCACCCCACACCAAAACAACACCCCCACCCCAAACCCCACCCCCCAACCCCCCCACCCCACCCCCCCCCCACACCCACAAACCACACCCACAAACCAAAACAAAAAAATCCCACACCCCAAAACAACACCACCACCCAACAAACACACAAACCCCCCCACCCACCCCCACACCCACCCCCCCCAACACCACAAAACCACAACCCCACCAAACACAACAAACCCACCACCAAACCTCCAACAACCCACCACCACCTACCAACCCCACCACCCAACCACCCACCACCACCCCCCCACCCCCACCCACCCCCACACCCCACACCACAACCCCAAAACACACCAACCCCACCACCCCACCAACCAACCACCCACCCCCAACAAACAAAATCCATTACACCCCACACCACCTACAAATAAACAAAAAACAAACAACAACAAAACACACCAAAATAAAACAAATACACCAAACCCCCCCCCCCCCCCTACCCACATCACAAAAACCCAACCAAACAAAAAATAAAAACAACCCCCCCATTCCCCAACCCAACCAACCAAACCCCACACACACTTAAACCAAATCCCCCTAAAAACTTCAAACCAATTCCCCCCCCACCTCCAATTTACTCCAAAACCCATCATACATTATCCTCCCCCCCCAAACAACCCCCCCACCAATCCAACTCCAACCCCACAACCAAACACCCCCACCAAACTTACACACCCCTCCCAACCAACCCAAACCCCCACCAAACAAACTACAACCAACTCCCATCACACCATACCCAACCACACACAAACAACCCACCCACACACCCCCACATCACCCAAACAACCAACCACCCCAACCACATCAAAACACAACCCCAACCACACCCACAACCAAACACACCCACAACCCAACCCCACACCCCCCACCCAAAAAACACCCACACCAACACCCACCACCCACACACACACCCCCAAAACAACCCATCCCCCCAACAACAACTACCCTATACCAAACCCCTCACATCCCTCCCCCCCCACCCTACCAACACCACTCACCTAAAACATCACACATTCCCCTCAAAACCCCACCCCACAAACAACACCACAATTTCTCTTACTCACCTACACCCCCATAAATATATATTTTTTATCCACACTATATAATTTTCTTTTCTTCCTCATCCACTTCCCTCTCTACCTCTTCAACCCCCACCCCTACTAAACTATTAAACCTCCCATCTCCCTCCCAATACCCCTATCCCACCAACCTATTAATAAATCTCCAACTCCCACATCCCAAACCTACCTACATTCCTCAAACTTCCTCTATAAAACCCATCTCACATACATTTCCTATTAATCCTTTATTTCTCCCCCCCTCACTTATACTTCCAATACCTCAACATATTTCTATCTAATCCACATATCCACATACTTCAACAATACCAATCTTCCCCCCCACTCCACCCCCCCCACAACCAACCCCACAACAACCAACAACCCCCCCAAACACCAACCCCACCCCTAACACCCCCAACTAATCCCTCTCTAACCCCATATACCCCACATCAAATCACCTCCCTAACCCCTCCATATAAAATACACACCCCCCTCACCCAACAAAACCACCCCCCAATATCCCCCCATCCCCTATCCAAAAAAAATTAATTCCAAACACATCATATAATTCCAAAACAACCACCAAACCACACCCCCCCCAATACACCCCCTACCCCTCCCTTCCCCCCAATATAACACACCATCCCCCCACCCACCCCCACCCATCAACACCCCCCAACACAAACACCTCCAACATACCATCACACCCCCCCCTACCAAACCCACCAAACCCACAAACCAACAAACCCCACCCCCAACCACAAAACTCCCAACCATAATTCACATACCCACCTACTACCCCCCAACCAATCAATAACACCACTCTAAATCACACCCCCCTAATTATACAATCCCCAACACACACCCTCCCCCCCACACACCCCTAACACATACAACCCACCCCAACCTACCCACCACATCCCACACCTAAATAAAACACCACACTCTTATATATCCCCCCTCCCAACTCCCCAACCACCCCCACTTACCAACCCCAAACCACCACCCCCCTCCCCCCCCCCAACAACCTCATTCAACAATACCCCCCCACCCCACCCCACCACATTCCTCCTACAACCCAATACACCAACTCCACATCAAACACCTAATTCCTACCCAATCCACATCCACCCCCAAACTACTCTCCTATCTCCCCCACTTCAATACCACCCCCCCTTTCCACTTCCATCCTTTAAACTCTCCAATCACCCCAATCACCATCTAAACATACAACCACCCCCCAACCCCATTTAACAAAAACTAACACCCCAATCCTAACACATACCCACTACCAACACCCCAATACTTTCCAAAACCATCCACCCCCACCCCCCTACACCCACCACCAAAAAAAATATTAAAAAAAACCCCCCATTACACCCCTCACTCCCCAACAACTAACCACCCCCCAACATAACCTCAACCACACAATTTACTACATCCCCACCCATCCCTCCCTATATCACACACCCACATTACCATCCCCTTCTTCTATCCACACTCCTACACCACCCCCCTATCCATCCACTCTCCCAAACTTTCTACAAACCCCCATCATCATACCCTACATTAACCCATACAACCCAACAAACATAAAAACAAAAAACAAAAACCAAAAAACAATCAAAAATCAATACAAACAATACCTACACCAAAACAACCACATCCCCATCCCACCCCAAATCATCACAACCCCACTTCAATTTCCACCTCAAACTTCCCCAACCACTTAAAATCCCCCCATATCCCCCATAACCCAATATCCCACTCCATTCCTTCACAATATCTCTAACCCTCAAACCCACAACTCCCCTAATACCCCCTAAAAACCACCTACAATTTTTCCCCCCCCCCCCCCCCCCCCCCCACACTCAAACCCCACACCCCCACCACCCAAACCCAACCAGCCCCACTCAAAACCCAATCCCCAAACCCCCCCCTCCTCCCCACCCCATCACAAAACCAAACAATACCAACAATCCCAACCCCCCCACCCACACTCACCCCAAACAACCAACCCCCACCCCAACACCCAAAACAATTCCAAACCCCCTCACATTACCCACTACAAAATACACCCAACACCCCCACACCCTCAATACATACAACACCCCCCCCCAACACCAAAACAAACCACACCCAAACACAAAACCCCAATAAAAAATACTAACTACTTCCACAACTCTCCACCAACCTCCCCTTCACCCCCCCATTTTACATCTCACCACACAAAAAAACCAACCACACTAATAATACAAATTCTCTCAACACTCTACCCCCTATAAAAACCTATTCCATTCTCCCTAATACCACATCCACTATCCCCATCTCCTCACCCCCTCTTTTTCCCACTCCTCTCCTTCTACTCCCTAACTTTCTTCTTTCTCTTTCCCTTCTTTCACCTTCATTCCTCTATCAAATAAACTCCATCTCTCCTCTCTATTCTTCCCTTCACATATCCCTACCCTCCACCCTTCAACCAATATTAACAAATACATCCAACCCATACTCCCACCACACTCCCTCATAATCCTCACCTTACTTAACACACTCCCCCCCAACCCCACCACACAAAAAAAAATAAATTCCCCAACCCCCACACCCCAAAAACACCCCTAAATCCAACCCCACATAAAATCACAAACCTACCACAACCAAAACCACCACCACCCCCAAACACCCACCAACACACCCTACAAACCCACCATCACAACCCAATCCCACAACCACACCCCCACAAACCAACACAAAACCCCAAAACCACCCCCCCCACCACCCTCATCAACCAAACCCCACCACACAACCACACAAAATCCACACACCCCCAAAACAAAACCAACCCCAACCACCCACACCCACCACCATCCCACCCCACCCACCCACCCCCCCCAACCCCACCCCCACCCCCCCCAACCCACCAACACCTCCCATACCCCCTCCCATCCCTCTCTCCTTTTACCCACAACACCTATCAACCCCCACTCTATTCAATCCATCACACTCCAACACCATATACCTCCCCATTCATTACTCTCACAAAATACATATCATACTCCCTTTCTCACTATATATCTCTTCCCCCCCCCTAAAAATTTAAACCCTCTCACCAAATTTCTATATCATACTTCCTTCCCATAAAACCCCCCCACCCCCCACTCTCATACACCACATCAATCAATCCCAAATCACATTCAAATCCCTACCACCCCATACACCTACACCTTCAAACTCTCACCCTAACCCTTTATTCACCCCCTTCCCCTCACCTCTTATACCAATATACAATCCCTCCCCCCTTCACTTACCACAAAACTCAAACCCCCCCCCTAACCAACACAACCCTAACAAACCCCAACAAAAACACCCAACCCAACCCAACCAAACACAACCATCCAAACTCTAAACCATCAAACACCCACCAAACACCATCCCCAATCCACAACAAACACTCATTTCTATCATAAAACCCCTCCCCAAATACCCCCAATTTAAAATAATATTTCAACATCCTCTATACATCTTTAAAACTTCCATATACAACAAATACCTCCCCACCTCTCAAACCCCCCCCATCAACCATCATCTACACCATACCTTATCAATACCCCCAACTAACCATTCATTACAATAATTCACCACACCTATAAACCACCCAACCCAAAAAACCTCACCACCACAAACAAACCCCCACTCAAACCAATAATCCACAATAACATACCCTACACCCCCCATATACCTTTAACCCCACACTCCAAAAACAAAACCTCCAAACCAACCCCCATACACTACAATAAACCCCACAAAAAAATAACACCAACAATCAACAACACCCCCACCAAACACCACATCCAAACACAACCCAAACAAAACACCCTTAACAATACCAACAAAAAATACACCACTCAATAAAACACACCCCTCACACCCCCTACCCCCCCAACACACCCAACCCCCCCCCCCCCAAACCAATCACCCTAACTAACACCCAACTCATCCCCCTCACCCATCCACCACCACCCACAACCCCCCCAAACAAAAAAAACAACAACAACTCTACCAACTATACCCAAAACCCTACACAACAACACCAAAACCCAAACCACACCCACACACAACACAACATCACCCACTCCTTAACCCCACAAAACACAAACACAACTTACAACCCACCCCCCCCACCCCACCCCCCCAAACCACTACTACACAAACCATACTTCACACAACAAATAAACCCCTCCTACCCCCCATCTCCACCCTCTCTCTTCCCCCCACAATCCCTACCCCCCCATACCTCCCATACCACAAAATCTCAATCACCCCCATTCCAAACAATCCCAAAACCCCTAATTAACACCCATACACCTATCCCACCATCCCAAAATTTCAAATCCTCTCTTCACCTCATTTCCACTCACAAAATACCACCTCCCCCCTCCACACTCCCCCCCCCCCCAAATACAACAAACACAACAACACCCCCCCCCCCCCCCAATCCCCCCACCATTCACACCAAACCTAATCATTCAATCCCACACCTCACATCATTACTCTTTCAACTTTTATCAAACAAACTATAAACCCACATATACCTCTACCCATAAAACTCACACCAAAACACTCACACCACACCACACCTAAACCACCAAAACCAAACACCAACCCCCCCCCCCCCCCCCCCAAACTCAACACACCAAAAAAAACACAACACCCCCCCACAAACTACAATAACCCAAATCCCTCCCCCCACCAAACAATAAACACCCCACTCACTCCTACACATACTTCCCTCCCCCACATCTCACAAAAACCAACCCCCTTCTACAACCCCATCCCACCCATTCCCATTCAACTCCAAAATACCAACCACCTCCCCACCCAACCAAACTATCTCAACCTCCCACCCAAACTCACCCCCTCTTATATCATCCATCCCCCCCCAAAACCCACAACCACCACAACTCCCCAACAACAAAAATTACACAAACACCCACCCCCCACAAAACCAACATAACCACCACACCCCCCACCCATCAACACCCACCACACCCCCCCAACCTAAACAAAACCCAAATCAACCCCCCACTTCCCACCCCAACTCCCCCTCCCCCCCTTTAATATCCATCCATACCCTCCACCCCCCCCCAACCCCACCCCCCCCCACTCCCCCCCCCCACCCCCCACCCCCCCCACACAAACAAACCCACCCCCACACCACCCATCCCCCTAAAACAAAAATTCCCAACCACAACAAACCATATTCACAACATCCCAACCCCATCCCCCCCCCTACCTTCTATACCCAACATAACCTCATACTACTTCCAACACAACTCCAATCAAACCACACCCAACAAATAATCCAACATCAACATATAAACTACCCACCCCCCCCAACAAACAATCTACAAACCCACCCACCCCATATAATCACAACCATCCCCACATAACAAACCCCATACCCTCACCCCATTCTCTTTCCCACAACCCCCCAAAACTCATCCCCCCCATCCCCACCCACCAACCCCCCCACCCCCCCAAATTCCACCACACCTCCAACCACAAATCTAACCAAATCAAAACCCAATAAAATCTCCAACCACTCCCCCTCTCCAAAAACCCAAACCCTCACCCCCCAATAATAAACTCTACTCAACACCCAAAACATATACCCACCCCCACCCAACCCATAACCTTTCCCCTCCCCCCATCCCACACCCCTCCACACACCCATCCCTCTCCACCCATATAACACCCCCCCTACCCAACTTACTACAACAAATCCCAAATCAATTATCATAATCAATATAAAAACATCCAATTACAAACCAACCCCACCTAACCCTCCACCACCTCCCACCCCCCACCCCCATCCACCTATCTATATACCCCACATTAAACCACATCTACACACACAAAATCCCCCCCAAAACCCCCCTCTCCTTAACCCAACCCCTTCCCCCCCCACACCACCCCCCAAATCTCTTAACCCACCCCACCCCACCCCCATCCATACCCCCATTCACAACAAACCCCACAACCCCCCCCCTTCTTCTAATCCACAATTCTATCAACACCCCCCTACCCCAACCAACCCCCATCTCCTCTAACAAACAAAAACTCCTTCCCTCCCCAACCCCCCAAAACCCACCTCCCCCTTATCCTTACCTAATCCTTTCCCCATAAACTCAATATCCACAACACCAATAACCCCCCCCAAAAAAAAAACCTAAAACCTCTCAAACACAAACCTAAAACACCCATCCACCCCCCACCCCTTATATAAACCCCCCTCATCCACACTCTAAATATCCTTCCTATTCCCCCCTCCTCCCCCACCTCCCTCCTAACCCCCCCTCCCACTCCCCCAAAACCTACCATCCAAAACCAATCAACCCTCCCATAAATAACTCCCCTTTCCCCCCCCCAAACATAATCCCACTACCCACACCTACTATTCATATCTTCTCCCACAACCAAATCCCCCAAATATCCCACCAACAACCAACCCCCCACATACTAACATAACACCCCCATCCAATCCACTACCCACCCCATAATAATAAAATCATCATTCTAATTTATTATATATACCTACCCAATACCCCCCACATAACCCCAACATAACATAATATCATAACACTCCCAAACAATAAAAACCATTCCCAAAAAAAACCCCCCCCCTCAACTCAAATATAACCCCACACCAAACACCTATATCCAACAATACCCCCCCCCAATCAACTCAACCCACCAAACAAACCCCCCCCACCACAAAACCCCACCACCCCCTCACTACACCAACCCCCCCACTCACCACCCCCCCACCGACAAATGCCATCTACAACTTATATAACCCTCCAAAAACTTCACCCCCACACCCTACAACCACTCCCATAAATTATCCATAATACCCAACCCCCCCATACACCCCCCCCATAAACCCATCCCAATATTCCAAACACTCCCCTCACATTCCAAACCAATAAAACATCTAACATACCCCCCACCCTATCACACACTCTTCCATCCCTTTACCTTCCCCCATATCCTACCTCTCCCTCAAATCCTCCCCCTTCATATCCTCCCCCATTCTATCACCCATTCTCCCCCCCAATCTATACCATTAATCTCCCCACACTTACTCAATACCAATTCTACCCCCCTCCCCTACCAAACTCCCCCCATATTCTTAAAATCCCCCCTCAATAATCCCCCTACCCCCCTACCCTATCCAATTAAACCCCTAACAGATCATAACCTAAACACACCTAAAATACCATAAATAACCCTCCATTTAACACTCCCCTAAAATTCTTCCTCTTACATATTTATATATATCAATATAAAATAATCCCCACACCCAATATACCACAAACCCTCCCTACCCATATACCATATCCCCATTCCCCTCCACTTCCACTTTCCCATTCCAAAAAACCAACCCACTCCCCCCTAAACCCTTCAAAAATCCTACCCTTCCACCCAAAACCATTATACACCCCAACCCCACCACACACCCACCCCCCCTACCACATCCCACTATACCTCTCCAACAACTCCCAAACCAAATACAACCCATCCATTAACAAACTTTCAAAAACAAAACACAATACAACCACCAACCAAACCACCCCCCACCTCCCCCACACACCCTAATCCTCACCCTCCCAACAATACATCATCCCACTCATCCCCCCAAACACAATCTCCCCCTCCCCAATACCTATCCCACACCTCCTAAAAAAACTCCTAACACACCCCTTATCCCCTTACTTTTTATCTTACATACCATAAAATAATACTAACTCCCAACCCCAACCAACCTAAATTCATCAAAACCTAACACCCCCTCTTATTCATACTCAAAACAATCTATTTAAACATTCCCCACATATCACCCCCCTACCCAACCCTTTCCCAAATACAAACCCCTCCTTCAAACCTAAACCCCCCCCAACACCATCCTCCTTTCACAACTCCCCCACCTATAATAATCCCAACCCTCTCATTAATCATACCTTATCCCCCCCCATCACACCAACATACAATTAAAAAACAATAAACCATAACACCCCTCCTCACACAACCACACATCCACATAACATAATCCCTACCAAATCCCTTCCCATCTCTCCACACCAACACCCCCTCAAACCCCATAACCACCACCCCAATCAAAACCCCCACCCACCCAACCAAACAATCACTAAAATCAACAATATCATCCCCAAATTAACTCACCCAAAATCCACCCACCCCACCCAAAAACCCTTACCCACCCATCAACACAAAATCCCCCCACCCCACAATACCTTACCCCATCCTTACTTCCACCAACTTTACCACACCCACCCAACCCACACACCAAACACCCTCCACTCAACACCCATCACCACAATTCTTCCACAACACATAACCCACCCAACACCCTCTCCAACACACCCCACCCATCCCTCTCCAACCACCACCCCCACCCCCAAACCCCACCCCCCAACAAACAACCAACCAACCAAAAACAACCCCCCCCACCACCCCAAACACCCATCTTCAAACAAATAACAACTTATCCATAAAAACCTAACCCTAAACCCATCCCTCCCCAAATTACACCCCCACCATCATCCACCCTCCCCACCCCCCCTCCCCCCCCCCAATCCACACATCTAAATCACAACAACACCACCACACACCCCCCCAAAACCCCCACTCCCCCCCACACTAAACAACACCAACCCACCCAAAAAAAACCAAATCACCCATAAACAAACCCACACAAAACACCAAACCAAAAACCCAACCAACCCCCCCCCCCCACCAAACCCAACCCTCCAACACACACCCCCCTCACAACCCCTCAAACAAACCAACACAAACCACTCCAACCCATACCAACCCCCCCATCCAAATCCCCAACCTTATAAAAACACCCCACAACACCCCCACCCCACACACACAAACACACAAAAACACAACAACACCACCCCACAACACACACAACACCACCACACACAACCCAAACCCCAACCCACCCCCCCACCCAAAACCAAACCCCAACACCACCCCACCCCCCCACAACTAACCCACACAACACACCACACCCCAAACCCCCACCCCACACCCCCCCCCCCCCCCACACCCCTACACAACACCCCCCCCCACACCACAACCCCCACACACCCCACACCCCCCACACACCACCACCCAAAAACACAAAACCCCCCAACCCAACCCAACCCCCCCCACAAACAAAAAAACACCCCCACACCCACCCACCACAACACACACACAACCACCACAAACAACCCCAACCACCCCACACCCCCCACCACCACCCACACCACCCCACCCCCCCCACACCACACAACCCCCCCCCCACCAACCCCCCCAACCCCAACCCTACCCACCACCCCAAACCCCCCAACACCCCACCCAATAACCACATACCCCCACCCCACACCCACCAACAAAAACACACCCCAACACACACACCCCACAAAAACACAAAACCCAACACCCCACCCCACAACACCCAAAACACCCCACAAACCAAACACCACTCACACAACAACCAACCACAAACATAACAAAAACAAAACAACAACAAACCCCACCCCCCCACCCCCCCCACCACCTCAACATCCCAACCCCCCCCCCCCACCCCCACCCACAAAAACAAATCCAAACCCCCCAACCAAACCACACCCCCCACACCCCACACCACACCCCCCACCACCCCATACAAAACAACACCCCCACACACCCCACCCCAACCCCCCCCAAAAACCCCAACCCACCACCCCCCCACCCCACACAAACAACAACCCACCCCCACAAACCACAACCCCCCAAAACCCCCCAACACCCCCACCCCCCAAACCCCCAAACACCCACCACCCACCCACAACAAAACCCACACCCCACCCAAACACAACCCCACCAACCCCACCACCCACAACCCCCCCCACCCCCACCACCACCCCCCCCACCCCCACCCACCCCCACCCCAACCCCCCCACACACACAACCAAACCAACACCACAACCACCCACAACCCACACCCCCACCCCACCCACCCACCACAACACCACCCCAACCCCACCCCCCAAACACCAAACACAAAAAAACCCCCAAAAACCCCACACCCCCACAACCACCACCAAACCCCACCACCCCTACCCCACACCACACCCCCCAAACACCCCAACACCCAAAACCACCACCAAAAACCCAAAACAAACCCCAAAACCCCACCACCAAAACAAAACACCCCCACCCCAACCCCCCACCCCCACCCCCCCCACCCACCAACCCCACCCCCACACACATAACCAAACCACCAACCCCACCCCCCCCCCCCCAACCCCACCCACTACAAACACCAAACCCACAACCCCCCCCCCCCCCCCCACCCACCACACAACCCCCCCCATCTAACAACCCACCCCCCCATCCCCCCCAACAACCCCAACACAACCACCCCCCCACCAAATCAAATAACTCATCACACCAAACACCTAACCAACAAAAACCCCCCACTACACACCAAAACCCTCAACACCAACCACCCCAACCACACCCACCCCCCACCCCACCACCACAAAACACCACACAACAACCCAACAAACCACCCCCAAACCAACAACCACAAAATCCCCCCCACCCAACACACCAAAAAACCCACCAACACCCAAACCCACACCACCCCTCCAACAACCACACAACAACACCCAACCCCACCCACTCCAAACCCACAACCACCAACCCCCACACCCAACCCCCCACACCCCCCACCACAACCCCACCCCCCCCCAACCACAAAACCACACAACACAACAAACACAACCACAACCCACCCCCACCCCCCCCCCCCCCCCCACCCACCCCCCCAACCCCACCAAAAACACCACCCCCCCCACCCCACCCACCCCAAACAACAACACCCCCCCAACCCCCCCACACCCAACCACAAACACCCCCCCACCAAAACACCACCCAAACCCCCCTACCACCACACATACCCCCCCACCCCAAACAACCCAACAACAACCCCAACCACCACCCCCCCACCCCACAACCCCCCACCACCCCAACAACCCCCCCCCCCCCCCCCCCCCCCACACCCCCACAACACCCACCCCCCCACCCCCCAACCCCCCAACCACCCCCACCCCCCACCCCCCCCACCACCCACCCACCCCCCCCACACCCTACACCCCACCACCCACCACACCCCACACCACCCCCCACCCCACCCCCCAACCCCCCACCACAACCCCAACCACCCCACACCCCAAACACAAAAACAACCCCAACACCCCCACCACCACAACCCCACCCCAACACCAAAACCCAAACAACAACCCCCACACAAAACACCCCACCCCCCCCACCCAACAACCCAAACCCCACCCACCCCACACACACAAACAACACCCCACCCCCCCACCACACCACCCCCCCCACACCCACTAAACCCCCCCAAACACCCCCCACCCCCCAACCCACACAACCCAACACCAACACCAACCACCCCACCAAACCCACCCCCACCCCCCAAAAAACCCCCCCCCCACCCCAAACCCCACCCCACCCCCCCCCCCACCCCCCACCCACCCCCCCCCCCACCCAAACCAACCACCCCAACCACCCCCCCCCCCCCCCCCCACCCCCAACCCCCCCACACCACCAAACCCCCCCCACCCCCCACCCACCCCAACCCACACCAACATTGTTCCTATAGATCTTTGTCAGTGCAACAAAGTAAAAACCACAGGTCTTTAGTAGCATTGATTGATGTTATAGAATGTAAAGGACAACACACTACACTATGCACACAAGTACAATAAAAATACATATAGAGGGATGGGACTCCATGAAATCCTGGTATTTTGCCCCAAGCTAGAATAGGGCACTGTCCGGTTTCCGAAATGTGCTAAAAATAGCTCAGATGACTGCACATGCGCGGATGTTTCGAACAAACATTGTCCGACTCCGTTGAGTACTACTGTGTTCTCCACATACACGTTCATTGAATCATGGTGACAACAAAACACTGCAGTTATGGTGCTTGTCGGAGCGATTTCAGATACTCTGAAAAGGACTATGAAAGTAACATTCAACCCGTTCGTCAAACCACACCATCGGACCAGACCAGGACCAGACCAGGACCAGGACCAGACCAGGACAAGTGCAAGAGGTGGTTTCGTGCTTGTGGTCGACAGAATTTCTCTCATGAAAATGTTAAAAAGGACTCATATTTGTTCAAAACACTTCGTCTGTGAAGCTGGACCAACTGTGGAGCATCCAGATCCAGTCCTAGCTATGTTTAGCTGGGACTGGACCTGGACCGCTGTGAGCTCTTCTGAATGTAGTTAGCACAAACGTTCTCTTTACACCATTTACCCCCATCAATCCATATTAGTATTGTTTGTTGGAAAATAAGCACAGACGAAGCACGTCGGGGTCCGCTTATTATACGGCTTTGTACCAACTGAACACACAAAATTAACCTAAGTCACTTTTATTAATGCCAAAAGGTTTATTTAATGACTGCAAAGAAAATAGTTCCGAAAGGTTTTCCCGTGGCAGGTGAGTAATAGTGAGGCTAGTTAACCTACTTCAAAAAAGCGATCGCTTTAGTCGCATTAAAAAAGTATTTTTGTCATGAAAACCTTAACAGATACTTCTGAAAACCTTTGTGCAAGTGGTTACTGGAAGACCACGACATTCAAGCCAACGTTTTAATTGGTCTACACTATGATCCCTGATGGTTTGATGGTGGAATTTTGCTCCTGGTGTATCATTTTCGTCTAAAGTGACAAGCGGTATTTGATTCATTTCGGCAGCGTCTGTCCGAAACATGTGGGCGGGAGTTGACAGGCGGCGGGGGCGTGTCTTAGTGATGTCATTTAGATAGTTCGCTATAACAAGAATTATGTTGGAAAAAAATGTGGCAAAAGGCTGCATTTAAACGTACAACATGGAAATGACCATGTTGTCATGTTGAGTTGTTGACGATTATTCCTAACACGGATACATTTATACTGTAAATACATTTCAAAGATAGTATTTTCTCCGGGCTCTGAATAAAACTAGTCTTATATTGGATGCAGGCCAAGCTTACCTCTTGACAGTTGGCTAAGTGACTGGTTTGTGTGACTTGGGAGGAACAAGGTGACACCAGAGGTATAGTGGGGTGAGCAATGGTCAGTGAGGCGCACAGGGGCCATCTGTGAGTCGATACTCAGAGGTCAGACTTGAGGAGGGACACACACCACATGACTGCCTTTATGCCTTTGGCCCAAACGATCTGCACTCTCTCCCTCCATAAAGAGACAGAAAAGAGGCCAATTCGTCCCATAGATACTTTATCTTATCAGCATCCACAAGCACAAACCAAATTTACCCTCGCAAAAGAGTTCAGGTTTCTGCAAAAGGCTGATGATGAGATTTTGTTTTCCCATAGATTATACAGGAGTAGGAGGTATTGTACATGCTCTCAATGCACATTGTGGTTTACTATTTTTATGTCAAGGGTAATTGTGGTTGAACCATAGACTGTACATTAGGAGTGGATTAATGTCACCCTAGTGTTTAGTGTTCAGTGAAATTGCTTTAAACACAAGCTCTCTATAGCCCATATTATTTCCTTATATGGGCATTTGTTTCGACAAACAATTACCCAGTAACAGGGGCTGAGGTGTTGACAGCTGATTGGTCAATCCTTTTGGCTCATATCAGAATTAGCCAAATAAGAAATGTGAATCAATATATTATGCTTTTTAGATATTTTTTTAAACTAATATGAAAAACTGAATTGAATTAAGACATAAAAGAACAAAACAATGTGCGATTTATGTAAACAACGATTGCTTCATGGCGTGTGACATTGATGAATTATATGTATACTATTTATACCTGATGTTGATAAATGACTGCGATGGCAATGAGCCATTCATTCTCCAATTTGCCTGGCACCATAATCAATACTGATGGAGTTTCGTGTAGCTCTATCTCACTGCATACAGTAATCACACTGTATCTAAACGTAATCACAGACGGTAATAAACAGTGCTGCGATCGGCGGTAGATGAGAATCTTGAGGTGCAATCCGACACTGGTGGAGCTGTAAATAACATAGACAATATGTGAGAGGCAGAGAGCGTGGTACAAATGCCAAGAGGTGAGTGGGACGGGGCAGCTGCTGTAGAGAGGGGCAGCATCAAAGCACCACACATCTATGAAGGCCGGTGTCACCAGCACAGGAGAACAAGCTTTCATCTGCTCAGCCGCACATGTGTCCGGCCCCAGCTCACTCTGCTGACTGTGTGACGCATTCAGGAACACTACGAGCTGATTAGAAAGACTCCAAGTAAAGAAACGTGCATATGGTTGTACATATGGTCTGTAAACAGCTTTGTGACTCTGGTCTGTGAAAGGCGGTATATAAAATAAAGATTACTTACTTATTTACTTATACATTATTACCAGTTTTACTGTATGGTAGAGCTCTTAAACATAAATCCAACTGTGGCAGTTTTAAGAGCAGTTTCAATGCAACTCTCAGTCATTCACAAACTGCCAAGGAAATAATACTTTAGTTTGATAAATGACCGGATCTCTCCACACGTCTCGGGCACTTGACAGTCGCGTGGTGGAGTGGATGTGGATGTGGAAGACTTGCGTTCTGAAGCGGCACCCGCTCCACAGACGCTCTACTGAGTTTAACCATGGATCTATTATAATATATAGTTTTACAAACGCGGTTTGAAGGGAAGAGACGCATGGAGGAATAGCGTCTGTGGGAGCATAAAACTACGATGATCAAAGAAGCAGGACATAAACACAACAGCAGCAGGACATGGCTGAAAGCTCATGTTAGCATTAGCGATAGCCACGGCGCATCACGGTAAGAAAAGAGAACATTCACTCACGCTGCTGATAAAGTATTCTGGCGATTGTTTTGTGGGGATTCTGTGTGTGTTATTTGAGGCTTTGTCCCTGAATAAGTTTAGTTGAAACTTGTGACATAGTAGTTGGACTGCGCTCGGATCGGGTCGCATGGCGCCGTAAAGATGGCGCCGTGGCAAGAGCTCTGGTGTGTGTCATCTGGTGCACACTGGGGTAGTCTTGTACAGTTTTTCCTATGTGGTTTTTCTGCAAATGGCAAATAAATGAATCTGAATCTGAATCTGAACATCCTGAGACTGTGTTGCAGATTCTCATTCAGTCAGTGTGAAAAAGTTACATATGTTGACACTTCTCTAAAAGATTGTTGTTCCGATCGTTCTTTTCTATAACTGTGGTCCTCCATGGTTCTTTTCTATAACTGTGGTCCTCCATGGTTCTTTTATATAACTGTGGTCCTCCATGGTTCTTTTATATAACTGTGGTCCTCCATGGTTCTTTTATATAACTGTGGTCCTCCATGGTTCTTTTATATAACTGTGGTCCTCCATGGTTCTTTTTCATAACTGTGGTCCTCCATGGTTCTTTTTCATAACTGTGGTCCTCCATGGTTCCTTCTTCAAACTTGTGAGGTCACGGTGAAAGTAACAATATCAGTAGCTCATGTGAAACAAAAATGTGATTCTCGCATCCTTTTTATCCACAATTGTTTTTCAAGATGGCGCATTGACATGGAGAGCACCCCTCTAATTTCGTTCTAATTTCACTTAGAAAGTTAAATTCTAAGCCTGTGAATACAATTCAAAAACCATGGTGGAGGTAAATATTCTTAAAAATGTCACATTTGTTATTAGTTAACATGTTTTTTCATATGGAGCATCTGTAAAAATTACACAGGGTGGCTTTAAAGTAATTCATTTATGGTTGTGCCTAATCATATTTATTGAATGAATTGTTTTCTGGGATTATCCACATTTCAAGGTTTTTTTTGTTAAGAGGCCGTTTTAATATTATTCATTGTCAAAATTATTTCCTGCAATGTTTGTCAAGTTTTCAAATTTGTATCATCCTGTACTCACCAATCCTTGAACATACTCGAGCAATTTCTGTTAATAATTTTTTTCATTAGATCACAAAAGGTGAAATTTGACAAGGACAAAGTTAAAGCCACACAAAAACATCCTCACATACTGTTTGTGAAGAAAGATATTTAATAAAGTGAAGAAAAATAGTAGAGCATCTTCAAATATTTCAGTCAATGTGTAATTAACAAAATAAATAATTCATATGACAAAGAAAAACTTTTTCTCAATATTATTATATATATTATTATTATTGCAAATATTATATATTTAGTATTTCAGCAGAGACGAGTTATAGTAATCGGTGGTTTAGTAAAAAAACGAGTGATTTCCATTTCATTCTACATAAAACAAAAATGTTCCCTGCATGTTTTTAGAGTTGTCAAAAGTGCTGCTATATAATGTATTTGTTGAACTATATGACAATGGTTCAAAATTATATTATATAGCAGCATTTTTGACAACTCTTTCATTAGACATGACATCAAGCCAAAGCGTACATTGCAAAAACAGCATTAACGGCGAGCGTCTAAATCCAACCCCATCAGTCCTCATGAGGCTCAATATAACGAGTTTTTTAAGTAAATGGAGTTGGAAGTGACCCAAACTGGGCTCATCAGAGTAACCGTGGCGACAGATGAGGTGGTTGATCTCACAGCCTTTCCCTCTGCATGAAAGCGGTCCACACCTGTGTCCCACCGCAAACATCTGTCCGCCATACTGAGACTCCTCCTATACACTCTCCCGGCCCATTGCCCATTCACAAACATTTGCATATATTTGGCCAAGCGTAGTCTT